CACAGACGATCAAAATCGAGGAGCCTGAGCGACCCAGGGATACCGATAGGACGGTCAAGGACGAGATTGCGGATGAAGCCGAGGTGATTGGTAGAACAATCTTTCCATTCTCGCTCCGCAAGCCCAAGAAGTTCTTCAAGGGTACCAGCAGTGACAACGGCGAAGGCAGCAGCTCTGACAACCCTCTTGCGAGAGTCAGGAGCAAGACATTCGACACCATCAGGACTGCATTGACCCGCGAAAAGGTCGAGGACATGCCGTATCTGAGTTTCACGCCTACCATGGGACGCAACTCAGCCTTCCCGGGCTTGACCATTGAGCAGCGCGAGGAATTGGGTGGTATCGAATACCGCTCCCTGAGGACACTCGCCGTCATCTTGCTCTGCTACTTCTGGGGTTTCTCGCTCTTCGCCATCACCTGCTTCCTTCCTTGGATCTACACGAGCTCCAATGCCAAGTACGCCGCTATCGTGGAGAACTCGGGTGTTAGCAAGGCGTGGTGGGGTGTTTTCACGGCGAACTCGGCCTTCAATGATTTGGGACTTACACTCACGCCTGACAGCATGAACTCGTTCAACGACGCGTCCTTCATCCTGTTGATCATGTCTTTCCTGATCATCATTGGCAACACCGGCTTCCCCATCATGCTCCGAGTCGTCATTTGGATTCTCTCCAAGATTGTGCCAAAACGCACAGGACTATGGGAGGAACTACGCTTCTTGTTGGACCACCCGCGTCGCTGCTTCACTCTGCTTTTCCCAGCGGGCGCTACCTGGTGGCTGTTCATCATTCTCATCGGCCTCAACGTTCTTGACCTGCTGTTCTTTGTCCTGCTGGATGTAAGTCATTCTCGCTACCCATAACTGAACTACGCTGACTGACACTACTTTTAGCTGAACGATAACGCTGTGAGCCATTTGCCGGTGCACGTTCGCATTGTGGATGGTATCTTCCAGGCTGCGTCAACCAGAACTGCAGGTTTCTCGGTTGTCAACATTTCGCTGTTGCATCCTGCTGTGCAAGTGTCATATATGATTATGATGTACATCTCCGTGTTTCCAATCGCCATCTCCATTCGTCGCACCAACGTGTACGAAGAGAGATCTTTGGGTGTTTACCACAGCCCTGACGAGGATATGGAGGGTACCAACGAGAATAGCGCCTGGTCATACGTCGGTACCCATTTGCGTCGCCAACTTTCTTTCGATTTGTGGTACGTTTTCTTGGGGCTCTTCATTCTGGCCATCACAGAAGGCAAGAGGATTCAAAACAAGGACTTTGACGTCTACTCGGTCTTGTTCGAGATCGTGAGTGCATACGGTACGGTCGGGTTGAGTCTGGGTTATCCCAACGTAAACGCTTCCCTCTGCTCTCAGTTCACCACTGGAGGCAAGCTCATCATGATTGCAATGCAAATCCGTGGTCGCCATCGTGGTCTCCCCTACGGCTTGGATCGCGCTGTTCTTTTGCCAAGCGAATCTCGGTTTGAGAAGGAAGCCGCCGAGGCGCAGCCAGTTCTGGTCCGGTCTGCTACTGCCGCATCGACGGGAACTGCACTCAGCGCCACGAGGTCAAACCTGAGGTCGAGAAGAATGAGCACGAACAGGGGTCAAGGCATCTTTACTCAATTCCTTCACCCTGGCCCCGTGATTCCACACGAAGACAGCCTCACCAATCTCTCCAGACGCAGCAGATCATTTGGTGTCGACGAACGGCCGCCGATGGCTGAGGATATGAGGAGACGCAACACGGAGCCCGTCGATGACGAGACTACGGATACCGACAGCGACGTGATCACAGCGCCTCCGCGGAGAGTAGTCACTACACCCGCAAGACCCGCGATTTGACCTGTTTTGTGAGAAAAGGAAAAAGGAGCATACATTGCAAGGAGTTTGTACTATGGAGTAATCAGGGTGGGCACATTTTTTTTTATTGGCGCGGAATCCAGTCGTTTCTATAAAACCAAGGCGGACTAGATGGCTCAGGCCGCGGACAGACTTTTGATTTTGGCGTTTGTTCTCACTGTACATTCTTAGTATACTGTACAGTACACTTATGACGATTGATGAACACCTATGCGCGTTCAATCCTTGATGTGACTCTGTGATGATGCTGCTGAGTATCTGCTCTAACTCAGGCCTCGACATGACCGACCCAAGAGACATTGTTGTTGAATGTATTTGTCGTCGTGACCTGGTCGTCCGCCCCTTTTTCAGTCACCATGTCACTCGATATCATTCTCTACTAGCTATCACTGCCTCTAGTATTTTATGTGATTTTGCTCATGTACACGACTCTACACAGGCCAATGTTGTACAGCTCGCCCGTTTTTTTCCCTAATCGTACATTCCACCAACGTGCAAGCCTTACTGGGTCCTCTCCAATCGGTATCTCGTCTTCATCTTGTAGACAAAGCCCCTAAGAAGAGATAGACCGTCCCATCCCCGCCTATTTCTTGAATCCTTCCCCAATCTCTTTTAAAACCTCGAACCGGCCCTGCCCTTGCTGCGCGTGCCGTACCTCTCCTTCTTCCAAGCAAAGACGAGGTGATCGACGTTGCCCATGTCGTGCTTGGGCTTGCGCAGGTACGTCAGGCGGGCGCGGCGCGCGCGCTTGGGACGACGCCAGACGATGTCGATGCCGATGACGGTCGGGGAGTAGATTTTGTACCACATCTCGACGCCGACCTTCATGAGCTGGCCGCGGAGGAGGATGCCCGTGTCAACGCCGCGGCGGCGGATGGACATGCATACTCCGGAGAAGGGCTCGCCCGATTTTGTGGTCACCATGAGGACGTCGCCTACTTTTGCGGCGTCGGGGCGGGCTGGGTCGAAGAGGCGGGTGCGGGCGCCGGTCGGGTCGAGGGTTGTGCGTTGGGCGGCGTCGAGGGAGGGGAGAGGGTTCTTGTGGGTTGTTTGGCGGATTGAGGGGAGGGGAGGGTAGACTGCGAAGGTTGGCTTGTTACGGGGGCCGTCTGTGATGTGGTTTGTTAGCTTGCTTGGGGTTCGTGTGGCAGTTGGGTGATGTTCGCCTTACAGTAGGACGGCTTCACTGAGGGCGTCGCCGGTGAGGGTGTAGATGATGGCGGCTCGGGGGCGGCGGCGGTGGCCATGGACCGGGCGAGGAGTCTTTGGTGCCGCGTCTGGCGGAGGGCCGTCTTCAGGCAGCCCATCGGCCGCAAGAGACTTGTGGCGTTCATTGTGGTGATGGTGTCTTGTCGTGGGGACGGGACGAGACGATGCAACTACGTCTGATCGAGCGACGACAGGCAGAGCTTGGTTAAAGGGTTCAAAAAGTTCAAGAGGCTCGAGGTGCGAATTGCGGGCTGTGATTGGCTCGGTGCATCAATGATGCGGAGCCGCCGGGCCGGGAGGCTCGTTCGATCCAAAATTTTGGGTGGCTACCCTGCAGGCCAACCCGAGTAGCTCCCTTTTCGCCGACGACGGATAGGAAGCCTCTGACGAGCTTATACACAACCCAAATCGCCCATCATGTCGAGGATATTAATGGGAAGGGCCCTTAGGGGCGCAAAGGCGTCGGTGTGGGATCAGCCGGCGTGCATGGCACAGCAGCAGCAGCAGCGGTCCTTTGGTCAGACGCCTGCCCGTCAAAGTACGTCGTCTCGTGATGTATATCTCGCATTGATCCTATGAAGAAAGTTTCGCTGACAGCTTGCCGTTCTTTCGCAGACCCCCAAGTTCTCTTCGACAAGACCACGACGCCCGGCCTCGGCCCGATCCTCGAGGAGATCCAGACGAACATCATCCTCCCCTACCACCTCCCCATCCACCAGCGCAAGCGCGTCTTCTCCGAGAAGCTCAAGCACCGCCTCAAAAATGACCCTGTATACCTCGAGATCGACGGCCTCGAGCACCGCTTCAACCACATCAACGAGGAGGCCCTCCCCCCTTCGCGCGACATCACCTGGAAGGCTCTCCGCGCCATGGAGACCCCGCAGGACTGGAACAACTTTGGCCGCCTGCTCTCGGGCATGCGCACCGCGGGGCGCCACTACAGCCAGACGGATTTTGCCAAGATGATTCGCATCGCCGGCCAGCAGGGCCAGATCTACACCATCATCGAGGCGGCGAGACAGGTCCGCAAGACGGGGATGAAGCTCGACAACTCGGAAAAGGTCAACGAAGTGCTGCATTTCGTGCAGATGCGCGCCGTCGAGAGCGAGTGGGACCAGGAGAAGACGAAGCAGGCACTGCGGTGGGCCGAGATCGTGCTCGAGATGCTCGAGGACAAGGGCCACGCGCCCAACGCCCGCAAGCTCAGAAAGAGGCAGCTCGCTCAAGAGGGCGCCGCGACTCCCGAGCAGGAGCGCTTCGCCCTCTACAACGACCCGCAGATCATCGGCGCCGCGCTGCACCTGTCGGCGGTGCTGGCCGTCAAGCACAACGACAGCAAGGACGTGGACGGCAAGGTCGGCCGCCTGGCCAAGAAGCTCGTCGAGCGGTGGCCCGCCGGCAAGGGCCTGCTGCAGCTCCACCCGGCCGAGGCGTACGCCGACCGCGTCGACGGCGTGGCGTACCTCGTGCACAGCCGGACGCAGTACCTCTCGTACGCGAGCCCGATCCTGCACGGCCTGTTCCTGGCCGCGCGCGTGGTGGAGAAGCCGATCGCGGACCGGCTGAATGCCATTGCGGCGGCGTTGGGGCCCGAGGTGAAGGATGTTGCTGAGAACCAGACGTTCCCTGCCGAGCGTGGGCTCAAGACGTACAATGCGCTCTTTGGATCCGAGTAAGCACATGGTGTGTAGGATGAAGCGATGGCTTGGGAGAGGGCAGGAATGACGTGTGATAATAGCAAGGCATGAGGAAAAGGATAGAAAAGGGGGTGATGAAAAGCGAAGAGAGGGGGGAGAGAATCAGAGAGGCTCCAAAAAGGGGCTATGTACAGCTGATATGTAAAATTATCTATGTATACAACACAATACGCACACAACCAACGACCAAAGACAAAGGTCCGCTCTACAACCACGACCAACAAACTGCTTAAGGCAAAACAATGTACTTTTCCAAATGCTTCGGTATCGCCCCCAAGAGCTTCTTCTCCTCAAGCCACTTGCGCGAGAACAGCCGCTCCGCATACCGATACGCGCCATCGCACAGGATCGTCACAACGGTGTTCCCCTTGCCGAGCTTCTCCGCCACCTCCTTGGCGGCGACGACGTTGAGCGCCGAGCTGGCGCCGAGGTACAGCCCTTCCTCGTCGAGGCAGCGGTACACCATCTCGATGCTCTTCTCGTCGGCGATCGTCAGCGACCCGTCGACGAGGCCAATGTCGGGCTGCAGGTTGTCCGTGATGCGGCCCTGGCCGATGCCCTCGGTGATGCTGGACCCGCTCCGCTCGACGAGCTGCCCTCCCGAGGAGACGTACGAGTGCAGCACGCTGCCGGGGGGGTCGGCGAGGAAGGATTTCACGCGGCCGTTGGAGATGTCTTTTAGGTAGCGCGTCGTGCCGGCCAGGGTTCCGGCGGTGCCCGTCGCGCAGGTGAAGGCGTCGATCTTCCCCCCCGTCTGCTCCCAGATCTCGGGGCCGGTGGTCTCGATGTGCGCGCGGCGGTTGGCCGTGTTGTCGAACTGGTTCGTCCACACGGCGTTGTCGAGCTTCTCGGCGTGGCGGCGCGCCTGGTGGTTGTAGTTCTCCGGGTTCTCGAACGCCACGGCGGGGACGGGGTAGACTTCCGCGCCGAGCAGCCGCAGGAGGTCGATCTTGCCCTGGGACTGGGTGTTTGGCATGTAGATGACGAGCTTGTAGCCGCGGGAGCGGCAGACGTGGGCGAGGCCGATGCCCGTGTTCCCCGCGGTGCCCTCGACGACGGTGCCGCCTGGCTTCAGGAGGCCGCGCTCCTCGGCGTCTTTGACGACGTAGAGGGCGGCGCGATCCTTGACGGAGCCGCCTGGGTTCATGAATTCTGCCTTGCCGAGGACTTCGCAGCCTGTTTCGGCGGAGAGGCGGTTGAGGCGGATGAGAGGGGTGTTGCCGATTGCTGAGGGCGTGGTTCGGTGTCAGTGGATTTTGCTACAGATGGGGGGTTCGATTCACCCCTTTCCCTCGTGCAAGGTCTGAATTGAGTGTGTGGGGGAACATACCGCCGGTGAGGCCCTTGACGACGCCTTGCGCGCGGGAGAGGTTGAGGGAGTAAGCCGTCGGCGGGTCAATGGCGCGGACGGCCGTCGTCGCAAAGCGACGGACGGCGATGCGGCTCATGTTGGGCTTTCTAATTGCGGGAGCTACCTCAAGACAGGGCTCAAGTATTCAACTAAACCAGTTGGCCGTGTTGCGGGTGTGGTGTAGGAAGAGAGCTTGGGGAATCTGAGTCCAAGTGCTGTGGAAACGGGTCTCCGGCATTCGGCTTTCTAAGCTTGCAAGCATGCATCCGTAGTGGGGGGCTTTTCTTCAATTGGGTTCAGCTTTAGAAATCACGTCAGAACCGCTAGCGGCCGTCAGTGTGGGGCGCGCGGGTGACGGGGCCGGGGGCCGGCAGTCGGTGACTATAACGGCCGAGCCGGATTGACTCAATTCTTTCTACTTGTTTCTCAAGATTGTTGATTGTGACTGTGACATCGAGATCCGGTTCGAAAGCATCGTGGTAAAAAGAAGTTTCACGAAGCGATCCTCAATGAACCAAGAATTATCCATTTCGCCTATTAATGGGAGAGTATCCGAGATGGGGATACGTGCTCGCCCAAGTCGCCGATGCATTCATCACGGCATTTACTATTCAGGCTCCCCCCAATGACCACCGACCAATTACTATCCTGCATGATCATCAAGCCGCCTTACGTACGGCGATGGGAACAGTCCCTTCGCGCCCATGTACACCCCAAAGAACCAGTCCCCGTTCACGTCCTCAATCTCCCGGATCTCGGCCCCCTTGGGGAACAACAGCTCGTCCTCGGCCTTGGGATACCACGCCCACGTCGCTGTCGCCCTCATCCCGACGCCGCCGTCCGCGGGGAACCCCTGCGCGAGACCCTCGCCTGTCGGGGCGTCCGCCGCAACGTCCCTGGTGACGAAGCGCTCCCTCGTCTGCCCGCCCTCGTGCCACCACCACTTCTGCGGGGCCTGGTCGTCGGTGCCATCCGACTGCGTGATGCGGAGATTGCGGCCGCCTACGAGGTCGGATAGTATGTGCCGCAGCTGCCCACCCGGCCCGTCGCGGAAGCCGATCACGATCATGCGATGGCCGTTGAGACACCGGCGCCAGCCCGCGTGCCCGTTCTCGGGACTGATTTGATCACGCGCTTCAAGATTGGCGTAACAATTTGTGCATACATCGTAGTCGCCAGGTTGCGTGTCCGGCTCGATTGAGCTGGTACAAGTGAAGCAGTGATATCGGCTGTGGTTGGGAGAGATAGGGTCCTGGCAGACGTCACAGCGCGTCGTAAACGTCAGGGGCTTAAAGGGGCCAATATTGTGAATGTTAGGCCCCGTCAGCACAGCGGCCGCGTGAGGCGGCTGAGGCGACCTGGGACTGGCAGGTGGCGTGTGTGATGGCTGAGGCTGGTACGTCAGAGGCAGAAGCGGATGTGTGCACGATCGTCCCTGGTTCACGCAATTATTGCAAAACCCCCAGTCGCCAAAGTTGCAAAAGTCGCATCGCCAGAAGCACTCGTTCGCCCAGGCCTGGCATCGAGCACAGAAGTTGCCGCTTTCCAACCGCTTCATCGGATCGTCGGTCGTGAGAGTTCGCCTGCCTTCCGCTCCACCCGGGATGATCTTTGGCTGGAGGTAACGATTCGCCGTCAGCATGTGAGGTCTGGGTATGTCCTCGTGTGCCGTGTGCCGAGCCTTTTCCCACTTGGCCCACGCTCCGTACCCGAAGCCAAACCAGTGCAAGCAGCCTTTGCCGGACCTGTAGCAGTCGATGCAGATGTTCCAATTTCCGCTGGCGCAGATGCCGCAGTTGTAGTGTAGCTCGTACTCGATATGCTGCTTTGCGCAGCGGGAACACGTAATCGAGGGCTCCGGGTACAATTGCGAGCGTGTTCGTTGATGGCCGGGGGTGGTCGGACTCCCTATCCCCAAACCCAAGCCTAGCCCGACAGGGCCTGAAGTTGCTTGGCTGATGATGGACAAGTCTGCCGGCCGGTTTGGCCGCTGCAGCCGAGGCGACAACGGCTCTATGGGCGGAGACGCGGCAAAGTTGGAAGACACCAACGCAGAAGAATTCGTCATGCGGTTGGCAAAGGTCAGCTCGCGCGGTGCTGGCGAAGTGGTGGTCGTCGGCGACTGCGTCGTGGTAGGTACTGATGGCGTGCTCGAGCTTCTCGCCTCGGTGAAGACGGTTCTCGGGGCGACTGCTTCACCAAAATGTGTTCGTGACGACAGATCGGTCTGCGATCGAGTGGCGACGCGGGTCTCGGACTGCGTTGCTGGGAGGGGTGTCGTCGCGCTGCGGCCGCCGCTCGAGGTTCGCCTCCGTCGCCGCCTCTCCTCTGGTCGAACTTCAAGATGCAGGGCGCTCTGTGAGAGTGGCGGCCGGCTGCGATCGTCGGGGAACCCAGTTGCACTAGTTGACCTTGAGTGCGGTCGTTGCCTGCTACTGGGCCTGCTTGTGTCTGATGCACTTGACCTGATCTCCTGCACACGATCTGGAGAGTGCCTGGACTGGCCACTGGTGTCCCTTCTTCTCGTTCCTTCGGCCCTGGTGCGCTCTCGTTCTCGCTCCCGCTCCCGTTGCCGTCGTCTGTAAGCTTCTGTAATCTTCCGACTCAGCTCATCGTTCCGGCTCAGGTCGATGTTGTCCAGATCGAGCCCATCCAACAAGCCCTCTTCCTGGATTTGTCTAGCAAAATCCTCAATTTCCTTCTGCACGTCGCGCTCGCTCAAATCGCTCGAGCTTATGAGTGATCTGAGTGACGACTGGTGCTCGATTTGCCGACGCCTCATGTCGGATGACTCCTGGGCACGCTGTCTCGACTCACTCCTTCGCTGTCTCCTTTGCTCGCCCGACCTCGAATCCGGCTGCAGCTGGTCCCCAGTAGGCCTCCCTTCGTCGTCCCGCGGTCTCCGACTGCCCTCATGTCTGTGAATGTGGCGGCTGTCCCGACTGTGGTCCCGGCTCCGTCTGGTTCGTCCATCGGCAGAGCTGCTGTCCTCTCTACGCCGTCGATGTCGATGTCCCGAGGAAGAGTCTACTCCGGCGTCTCTGAGGCTCATCTCCCGCACATCTTCCAGTAACCTCCTTTCTTCCTCGTCTGCGCGCCTCTCTTCCGGCGTTCTCTCGGGAATCTTAACTTCTGGCAGCACCTGATCACCTGGCTTGTACTTCTTCACCATTTCCGCCACGTCGGATTCAGATCTCCTCCTGTCCGGGTTCGCAGCCACAAACATGTCGAGGAGAGTGGCGACGGTGGCATTGTGCCTCGTATCGCGAACCTGCGCACGACATGACGGGCAGGTGAAGATGTTTGTCCCTGGTGCGGGCGGGGTCGGTGAGTTTTCGGCCTGCTGCGCTTGGAAAGAAAACCAGTCCTTCAAGCAGGCACCGCAATACGTGTGTAGACAATCGAGCAGAGTCAGAGGCTGGTAAAGGAGCTCGGTGCATATCTAGAAGGCAAGAAGAAAAGTCGGTCAGCGCACATATAATCTCTAGAGTCCTGCAGAATCCAATGGGGGTTTGGAAAAAAGTGCCCCTCTCCTAGGGCGACGCTACAGAGCATTGGATCAGACGACACTTACAGAGCACGTCAACTCCCTCTCCAGATCGAGCGCGGGCTTTGAGGAATCCATGCAGGAACTATCGCTCCGCGCGATCCCTGGATTGCCGGACACAAAGACAATGTCATGAGGAGATTTGGCCAGCGGGATCGCGAGGGGAACATGTCGGTTTAAGACTGGCTGTCAGGCGAGCCTTAGGTGAGGTGGGTGGCGGGGCCGAAAGCTGGGCGCGCCGTGGCCGCTGCAGCAGAAGCACCTCACAGGCTCAAAGGCTTACGGGTTCAGGAAGGGAAAAAGGTGTGTAAGAGGTCAGAACTGGTCAGAGACTGCCCTGTGAGGTGACCCCGTCAAATGGATTGGATGCTAAGGGACGGGTCCAGTGGCCTACAGGCTACGGCTGCCCGCTGGCCGCCCCAAGTTGGGTGTCAACCCCACGTTGGTTCCCGCCCGCCGCCGACCCCTACCCCTGCCCTTAGCTTCAAAAAGCATCCCAACTCCCACGCGGAGCCAATAAGCTGAGATCATTGCAACCCCTCCGCTACTTTTTGGGACGGGCTAGCCCCCTGTAGGCTCCAAGTAATACGAACTCAACGCCCACCCGACTCTCCGGACTTCTTGAGACTAAAGGTTTAAACTGCGTATTCTCGGCGAGGCATGTGAGCTGCTCGTAATGGTTGAAGACACTGTGGTTTATGTGGTTTTCTAGGCATTGGCCAAGGCAGGCGAAGAATCTCGGGACTAAAGTCATCATGCACGCAAGCAAGGGCTGTACGAGAGAGACCCCGAAAAGTAACATCATCCTTTTTCCTGCAAAGCAACATGGCCAAGCAAAAAGGTGGTGCTGGGCTGACTGTGTGCTCTTACATGGTCTTATTCATGCCGAGCAATTTAACGGATTTCCCCAAACACACGCACGCGCTCATTTGCTCAAGATCGTGGTTGCACAACATCATGTCTTTCTTTGCCAGACTCGGCTATTTCGCATACAACTAGTCTTTTCACAAGCATGAAGCTTTTCAAGAGTGAGTCCACTCTGCCTTCTTCTTCTCTGCGAATGCCTTCATGCCAATCTTTTGGTCGTTGCTGCCGAACAAGCTGTGAAATACTCTCCGCTCGAATTCGACACCATCCCTCAGAGGCAGATCCTGGCTCTTGTTCACAACTTCCTTGCACGCGTTGATGGACACCCTCGAGTAGCCGGCGATGGTCTCTGCCGTTTTCAGCGTCTCCTCCATGAGAACCTCGTACGAAGGGAATGCCTTGGCCGCAAGACCCCACTTCTCGGCATCGGCACCGCTGAAGGACTTGCCCGTCAGGATCAACTCCATGGCCTTGGACTTTCCGATAGCCCGGGTGAGTCTCTGGCTGCCGCCGGCACCCGGGATCGTGCCGAGCTTGATCTCGGGCTGGCCAAAGTTGGCAGTCTCGGTGCAGTAGAGGATGTCGCACATCATGGACAGCTCACAGCCTCCGCCGAGCGCGTGACCGGAAACGGCGGCGATGATGGGCTTCTTGACCTCGGTGGTGAGAAGCGACCACGACTCGATAAAGGACTTGGTGTATGCCTCGGAAAAGGTGAGAGGAGCCATCTCCTTGATGTCGGCACCGGCTGCAAAGGCCTTTTGGGAGCCTGTCAGGACGATGACGGACGTTTCGTCCGACGCGTTGAAAGCCCTTAGCGCATCGTTGAGCTCATGGATGAGGGGAGTGCAGAGGGCGTTCAAGGCCTTGGGACGGTTCAACGTCACTAAAGTGGATCATGATGAGCGTCGTCGTCGTAGAGTGATGATTGATTACGGCTGGAACAGCATTTACCTTGACCAACACCAGGCTTGGGCTGAGAGACCTGAATGAACTCGTATGTCTTGCTGGCGAATCCGCGTGAGAGTCTGGGCAGCGTCGGCGTCTGCATACGCGAGGCCACCGGCCGGAGGTATCTGAGTGAGTTCATGGTGAAGCAGATGAGAGCTCGGGAAGACGCTCAATGTGAGTGAGATGTTATGTTGTGAGCTATAGTATAACACGAGATGATTTATCTTGACCTCGATTGATACAAAGATGTCGTCTGAAATAAATGACACGAATTGTTGATGGAGCTGTGATGTAACAGGTAGGTCGAGCTCCATTTGACGTTTGATCCAAGCTCGAGGATAGCTGGAAAGCATCGGCTCTGTAAAGCCGAGGATACAGTCGGGCGAGGCACAGACACTCGCCGCGCACTGTGACAGCTCCCCCCGCGTCACAGGCTCGATCTTCCAACACTGCAATCACCTGTAGCAGCGGGATCCTGGGCAGATACGGATCCTCTGGCTGGTTCCAGGGTGCAGGCTGCGCCACAGGGGCTGGTTCGGGCCATTCCCAGGGGATCCAATCACTGACGGGCGCAATCCAATCACTGCGCCGGATAAGATTCGGGCGAAAAAGCAGGCGCGGTGCAGCGCGCTGCCAATCTCAAAGGGAAGGGACAGTTTTGTTGCAAGCCTTACGTGGCTTGAATCCATCTCCAGAGATCCCGTCAACCCAAAAATTCGTCCTGACAGATCGCGACAGCGCAGCGGCGGCCTCTTCCCACAGCATCGTCATCCCAGACTTGCACCCTCGTTAACGGCTACATATCCACGTCAACCCACGCGAACAAGCTTATTGCACGAGTATCCCACATCAAAGTTCATCCGCGCAAATACCGCCCAAGATGGACTCTGCCGAGCCGGAACAGACTGCCTTCTCGTCAGTCACAGCCCACACCTCGAAGCTGCAAAGAGTACGACGACGATAAATCCCCCCCGGAGTCTGCCAGCGACATCTTGCTAATTCTCATCGCAGCAATACCAGGCGCTTCTCGATCAGTCAACCCCCTTCGTGCTTTACAGATGGATCGCCACGGGCGTCTGCCTCCTGGGCTTCTTCGCTCGCATCTTCGTGGCGCAGGGCTGGTACATTGTCGCCTACGCTCTCGGAATCTACCTGCTCAACTTGTTCCTGGCCTTCTTGCAACCCAAGTTTGACCCCTCCAACGAGGCTATGGACACTGAGATGGAGGACGGTGGCGTCGGCATTCTCCCCACCAAGCAGGACGAGGAGTTCAAGCCCTTCATTCGCCGCCTCCCCGAGTTCAAGTTCTGGTACTGGGCCACCCGTGCCATCGCCATCGCCTTCTTCTGCAGTTGGTGGGAGATCTTCAATGTCCCCGTCTTCTGGCCCGTCCTGGTCATGTACTGGTTCATCCTCTTCTTCCTGACGAGTACGTTTCCTACCCCCACGCCTTGTCTCCCTGGCATTTCACCCTGGCACACAGCTGACCTTCCCTCCTTTGCAGTGCGCAAGCAGATTCAGCACATGATCAAGTACCGCTACGTTCCCTTCACCTTTGGCAAGAAGAACTACGCCAAGAACAGCTCCTAGAGGGGGGCCACGCAACTTTACGACGCGATGGAATCAGCGGGTTTTTACGAGAGACAAATGTCGTTGTCACGCCCGTCGAGGTGGGACAAGTGTAAGAGTCTAGGCACGTGAAAGGGAAGAAAAATTAGACAGTGCGCGAGGATGAATACACATTTTTGACGAAGTCTGGATGGCGACGATGGGCGAAGACAAACTGTATGTACCTATAGAAAGGAGGCCACGGGTATGAGTGCATGGATGGTTGCGACGGGCCAACTACACGGGGCGCATCAGGAGGTCCTCCTGCACGGTCGGGAGCCATTGCCCCGTTGATGAGTGACGGTTTTGCTTTGAAATCATTCATCTCATACTACGTATTGTAATAGAGAGGACAAATCTGTCTCTGATTCTTCATCTACGACACGGCGTCTTCTTTTTTTTTTTATGGTGTACGTTAACGTCAAGCTTCCAGGTTGACAGCTTTGGGGGGGTGCTGTGTCTTCGTCTGATAGAGCTGATAAGGCTACAGGTCGAGGTCCGGGCGTTTGGCTGGCGCAACCACAGTGTACAGGTAAGGAAGGTACCCCAAACTCCAGCCTCGTGGAACTTTTCTGGGCCAATTGCACCTGCCTACTCAACGCGACCGCGACGACGACAGCTCCCCGCTGCCAGTACTCGAAGCCATCCTCTCCTCCTCAGCAATTCATTTCAACCCTCAATTGCGACTCAGATATCGAAACGATCCCACCAAACGCACACGCATTTAAAAGGCCACGATGTCGTCCTCGGCGCCTCGCGGCGGCGAGCGCATGATCCATCAGGACTTCATTGCCAGAATCCGATATTCCAACGCCCTCCCGCCGCCCCCTAATCCTCCCAAGCTCCTCGACATCCCAAACACTGGCCTGGCTAGCGGGCAGTATACAACGCCGGGATTTGCATCACGTCTGGCAAGAGAACAGCCTCTCAACATCGAGGTCGATGCGGAGCTCGGCATGCCCTTGGACTTGGTAGGCATGCCGGGTATCTTTGACGGAGACGAGAGCTGTAAGCGCAGCCGCGTTGTACCAAAGGGGAGCTCAGTACTGACATCGATACAGCTATTCAAGCCTCTTCGCATCCGCCTGCCGTTCATCCTCACGATAGAGCCCTGCTGAGACCACTGTCGACCCTTGGCCGAGCTAAGAGCAACGCCGACGCATCAGTCTCCTTCCTGAGAAGAACAGAATACATTTCCTCCGTAGCACCCAGAAAGGCTGGCGTTGCCGCGGGAGCATTCATCAATCCCAAGATCAAGCGCGCAGAGAAGCGTCGCTCCCCTGAGCCGGACAAAGACTCACCGGCCGCCATCAGACGCAAGATCGAAAAGAGCTTCGAGAGCGCCGAGCGCTTCCTCAGCAACCCGACCCGCCATCGCCACCCGAGCAAACCAAACGTCCATCTCACGCAGTCTCTGCCGCTGCTGCCCGACCACGACGCCTTCCCCGACTCGGGCGCCTACGTCACCGTCAAGCTCCTCACAAACCCCGTGGCCAGCGCCAACAAGTATGACAGCCGCCTGCTCAGCGGTCTGCTCCGCCCGCTGGACAGGAGCCCCGAGGAGAACGAGGCCTTCCAGGCCGCCGTTGAGGCCCACGAGCGCGATCCTGCACGCAACCCCAAGCCCGCCAACCTGATGGACTACAGCTTCTTCCTCCCCAAGACCAAGACGACGGGCGACAACTTCCGGGCCAAGTTCGATCCGGAGAACCCCGACCGCGACGACGAATCGCTTTACACGTACCAGAGCGGCTCCAACCCGTGCTTCCAGTTCTCGCGCCTGCGTGCGTATGAGACGACGAAAGAGATCGAGCTGGACCACAACACAAAGTACAGCGAAGAGGTCATTCTTGCCTTCAACGACGAGCCCTCCGCGGGCGGCAGGCCCAAGGCGGCGTACTATTATCCGGTCATCCAACGCACGACCATCCGTCCCCAGCGCGCCAAGAATATCGCTCGTACCCTTAGTCAGGTGGACGACGAGACGCAGGTTGTCAACGAGGTGGAGATCTCCATTACCGATCCCAAGGGGGCCCCGGCCGAGAACATGAAGCGGTACAAGGAGAAGCCCATTGGCTATGTCGAAGAGGCCGAGCCGGTTGAAGAGACTTCTCGTGCGCCTGGCACTCCCTCGGACCGGGACGCTGACGGCGATGCCGATGGCGATGAGGAAGATGAGGATTGAAGAGGTGGCATGTTGAGTCAGAGGGGAGGCGCGGTGATGTAACATCAGTTCCTTTTTCACGAACCACTTAGGCGTTTGGACGTGAAGAATAAAATAAAACAGGGCAGCCGCGATGGTGGCCATTTTAGACTTCATGGATGTCACAATGATGAACCCACTCTCACGCGATTGTCATATTGTCATGATTGAGTACGTCCAATCGACGCATTGACGGACTTGCCAACCTTCATCAAGAACAAAGCAGAGGGATGGTGTCGAGTAATACGTAGTTGTCATGACTTTGAATTAAGTATACGTAGCTCTTCTCATACAGCGGCTCGAGCTCGGCGGGGTTCTTTCTCCCCGACTCGTTCCCATCATGTGTAATTTCTGCCAAAGGTGATCCTCCTGTTAAGCATACTTTGGAGACCGAGCAGAAATGAGTAAGAAAAAGGTACAAAGAAAGCAAAATCTCATGTGGTATAAGGGAACAACAGACAGACTCTCTAAGAACGGTAAAAAAAAAAAAGCAACAACGAAAAACAGACTTTGATATCGTCCCTTCCCCCTCTCCCTCCCGTTTCATAGCGTAAAGATGTTTACCCAGAGAACTCCTTTTTTTTTCTGCTTTTTTCCCCACGGGGAAAAAGAAAAAAATAATACATAGAAGACGCAAATAACGTGAATCTGGCCAACGGTGATGTGTGGTCACCTGGCAGGCACGAACGCAGCAGCGGGTGTCTACACCGGCGGTTCTGGGATAGTTTCGACAGCGAAGCCGATGTTATCTCTATTGTCGTCAATGACGCGACCGTACCTACGTCGAATTAATTAGCAAACATGGGTGATTTCTTTGGTTGGTAAAACTCACTCTAAGAGGAGGCGGAAGAACCAGACCTCCATATCCTCCTTGCGAAGCACCTTATTCGCCCAGTCGCGACTGCTGAGAGCCATGCGCTCGGCTTCGTTGCGCCCCAGCGCGCCGTCGCCAAAGAAGCGCACGCTCTCGAGCCAGTCGTCGCCCTGCAGACTCATGGGGATGTAGTGCGCCCAGGGCTTAAGCCACTCAAAGTGCCACTCGCGGAAGATGGCGAGCTTGAAGACGAGGGAGCGTGATTGCAGGAAAGCATAGAAGCGTCCCGAAAAGGCGTTGCCGTCCATGTCGAGGAGGTACTTGTACTTCCATGCGTCCTGCTGCTCGGCGTGGCCCTGGATCTTGAAGAACTCCTTTTCGGCGTCGCAGTCGCCCGGGTCGCACTGCCCGACGTGCGAGAAGAAGACGTCGACGATTTCGCGGTAGTCGCCGCGGGGCACCTCCTTCACCTCCCACTTAGGGGTCTGCTCGTCACCGCGGTTGATGAAGATCTTTGCCTGGTCGGCGGCGTTGAGCTTCTGCACGAGATGCTGACGGTGCTGGCGGCGCCAGCCGCCATTGCGGGAGAAGCCGCCCGTCGTGGAGCCGCGCCAGTAGAGGCGGTCCTGCTTCTGCTCCCAGAGCATGTCCTTTGACTCGTCGTAGGCGACCTTCTTATACCAGTACCAGGGCGAGGGGTAGAGGATATCGTTGTAGGAGGAGATTTTGGACTGGGAGAAGATGGGAAAGAGGTCGTGGACGATGTTGTAGGCGTTGGGGCGATCGAAGAAGCCGTAGGTCGCGCTCAGGGAAGGCGAGAGGCAGATGTCCGACATGGCGGTGACGTTGTAGACGAAGCCGAGCTCGCTGACTCCGTACTTGCTCATGTCGTCAGACAGCTCGTCATCCTCGAGACCGCGAGAGGGGCTGTCGGGTGGGCAGGACATGCGAGAGTGCGTCCAGGTAGGCTGGTGGGCGAAGACGTTGAAGCGGGTGCGCTTGTACTCGTCGATGATGTTACCTTCGCTAAGGCCGGCGGCGCGCTTCGTAAAGGCGTTCTCCGGGTTAATGGCAGCGTTCGCCTTGGGCATGTTGACGTCCTTGGCGCGGCTGACGAGGCGTGCGAGGTCCTCGTGAGGGACGACCACGCGCGGCTCGTCGTGGATGTTGAAGGCGATATCCATGCTGGGCAGGTGCTCGATGAACTTCTTGATCATGCCAGAGGTGGCATCGCGCTGCCAGTCTGAGCCGCCCTGAATGTGCTTGATCTTGTGGTCCCGGATCAGGAGGCCGATCAGCTTGTTATCGAAACCCAGAGCCTCCCGCGCCCGCTCCCGTATCGTCGCCGGCTTCAGACCCCAAAAGGGTGTGAGCATCTCGTGTATCATGTCGAACTCGTCAATGAGCTGTACGCCGCTGGCCTTTGCGAACTCGAACCACTTGTCAAAGTTGGGGGGCGGCGGGATGTTGTAGCGGCGCTTGTACTCCTTGACGGCTTCCTCGAGCGTCTTGGACTGGCGCTTCAGCGTATCCTGGAACTCCTTCTCGGCGCTCGTCATGAGGTGCCACATGGGGTGTGATCCGGTGCCGCCAGCGGACTTTGGTCGTCTGTCGGGAGGAGGGGGGGCGGCGGCGGCATCGTCACTGAGTGTCTGTTGATCTTGCGGGGGCGGAGGGGGTTTTTCGGAGCCTGGTATGGGGACTGTCGGTCGTCGATCGGAGGGAAGTGTGAATACTGTGTATGCGCATATCAACAGGAAGACGAGTAGAATGACAACCGTCCATTGACGACGGCGCATGGTTGGTTGCTGGCTGTCAGCCTGCCCCTTTTTGTGGCGGCGAGCTGCGTCGCTTTTGTCTCTCGAGCGTTGGTCGGGTGCTTTCGGGGGATGGGGGAGAGGGCCAGCAGTTTATCGCAGTTCGCCCTATTGCGTATACGAGGATGAAGGAAAGAAAGACGAAATGAGTTCAGGGCCTCATTGCAGGAGTAAGCAGAGATGCCTCACGAAATAGAAGTGGACAGCAGAGCTTCGTAAGGTAGTGAGTGCGTCGTGGATAAAGGAAAAGTATCCTAGTGGTCTGGTTTGGTATCGGTGGTTATGGTGGTAATGGTAATGGTGGTACCTTTCGATGCAAGTGCCAAACTCAGGTTTCCATTGGATCTGGGCCCGGCGGACACTAATATCAAGGAAGTCTGTGGACTTTCGGGTGGTCGACTTGCCCCTAGAAAAAAAAAAGTCGCCTGAAAAAGAATATGGCTTAGAACCTTGGTGCAGCGCGTCCGTGGACCTTGGTTCCTTGAGTAGTGGCGCCGCGCCCGTGGTAGCAGGGGTTGTAATTGGACATGCTTGGAACAGGGGAGGAGCTTAGTCTTGGGGGCACCTCGAGATTCTGGGGGGCCAGGGGGCTAGGCCTCTGAAAGACTCAGAGACTGAGCCTCCTTTGGAAAGCTTGGTGGGAACGACTACTATTTTCATGACGCTTCCATAACGAGAGTATGGCGGACCAGGGGACGCAAGACATCCAGAGCAAAGCAGTGGGTAGACACTCAACCGGTAAGGTAAGGTAGGGAGACATAGAAGTACCGGCGTCGACAGCGACTTTGACAAGTCCCTTGCACCGTACCTGCTCCCCGGAATTCCCCCTGGGAAAGTATAAGATACAAGAACCAGCTTTCCGGAATTTCGCCCGCAACTAGCGCATCTCTTGAGTCGAACTGAGACACGACAATTGGAATGGGGAGACAAAGATCTCTTTGCTCACATTTTCCATTGAAAGAGAGAGAAATACCTAGACAGATCGCCGGGTTGTGGGGGTGCAACTGGGACACCAGGACACTTTTGGGTGAAAAGCCTTTGACCCGCTCGATTCTTCGAGCCATCTTTGTGTGACCGTGTGAATCCGCAGGATTCTTCTTGGCCAAAACATCATTTCATCCAGAAACGTTAGAGGCGTTGAGAGACATATGTCTCTACGCCTACGCCATTTTTCTTGTCTCGAACGGGAGTGGTCCGCTCAGGGGAACACAAGGCTTACCTAAGGTAAGGAATCTTGGACAATTGCCGGTATTACGAGTCCCCGAGATCTGGATTGCTTTGGTCGACGTGCCGCGTTTGTCAAATTGCGATGCATTTCAGACGCCAAGTCTTCCGGTCCTAGACTTGCCTCACTTTCTTTTTTTCCAAATGCATTGCAGAAAGTATGCAGGAATGACCTACGCATCTGCGGGTGTCGGCGGGAAGGATGCGCAAAAGAAAAAGTTCCTCGGGACTATGCGAGCTGATGCAAGCCAGAGACTCGCCGGCCTCATTTTCGTCCTTGTTGGCATATTTAGATCACCACCAGAAGTTCTATCAGACAAATTCCAAGTTCCCAAATCTTCAAACTCATAAAAAGGCAAAGTTTGGTGAGTCTGCCATCTACACCGAGACTCTCGAGAAGCAACTTCCAAAAACAACGCACGACATACCTGCATCGCAGCATTGCCTCATCACGTGGAGGGCACAGAGGGCATAAATGCTACGGCCGAGACCGCAAAAACCGCCAGAAGCGGAGCCAAAATGCCCTCGAGATATCGAAAATATGCACGACATACTTGCATTGCAGCGTCTCGCCATCACGTGTATGTGGTCGCAGAATGGGCCTCGCCTCTGTGCCAATGTTTGCCGTTTCGGGTAGTCAAGGTGAAGGGGCTGAGACGAATCATTCGTGAGGGCCTCACCGAGAGTTGATCTTGCGACCTGGGGGTGTTTTCCCAGGAAGACAGGCACTATTTCTCAAAAGGGAAATAACAACGCTGGACCCCCTCATCTTGGGCGAAGCTTCATGTTCTCTGTATGTCAGTTGCCGAGGTCATGTTTCCGTTGGCCCATGTAGTGATCTCTGCTTCGTTGGCAGCGTAATTTTGGCGCCAAATACGCTGGACGATATGAGTACGATGAATCGAATGTGAGAAAGCGGCTAGAAACTGCCCTTTCTCTCTCCGTATGTCTGTATAAATACGCCAGCCAAAACGGCTGATGAGACAATTCGCCGCTGCTCTGTTCTTCATATCACCACGACTCATATTGCTGGTCTATTAGGCTCCCGAGTAATATTTCATGAAGAACACGAATAGAGGGCTGGAGAAAGAAAGTAAAGAATAAGATTTCTTGGTGGTGATGGCGGCTTAAACCGGAACTTGTGTTTGAAATGGCAGATCACTAATCTCGAGGCCAATTCCCCCTTGAGAGCCTCAAACGTACCAACCATGACCTAAGCCCGACGATATGATACCATGACGGTAAGGTAATTCAAAAACGGGCTGGCCGATTGAGGATTTTATAGCGCCCAGAGTGCGGACGAACATTCAGAAACCAACGAGTGATCGCAGGATGTGGCGATGACGGGCCAAACTCGAAGATCGATAAATCACCTCTCTGACCATACCGAACAGGACTACCATACAAATCCATATGTTGACTCGAAAATCTGGCGGTGCTACGTACCATGAGACCATCAGGAGTCAATGGCGCCTTTGAAATTGATGGGCTTATATCGTCCGGCCTCCAGGAGATGGAGGAATTATCATAAGCGCAAGAGGTTCACTAGAGTATTAACATATGGCACAACCTTGAACAGCAGGACGTATTGATGAGAGAAGCCTTTATATTTAATGGCAGCCAGCCAAGCATTCCCTCCCATCATCTGTACATTACATTCGGCCTCACCCTCATCTCCTCCGGCACCTCCTCCAGCCCATCCATCGGCCGAAGCAGCACATCCGACCCGCTCGCAACAATACAATACCTCTCCCGCAGCGCGCTCGTATCCTCCAAGATGCTCGACGGCATCTTGTCGTCCCCGGGTGGCGGGCTCCGCATCGCCAGCGCCAACAGCTCCGGCGTCGACTCCCAGCTCTTGCTCGTGACGCCCACGACAAGACTCCACGCCATGAACGCCACCGCGACGGCACAGTAAACGAACAAACCCACCATGGAATATCTGACGGTATCGTCCCCGGCAGAGTACGCGAACCCCTTCATCTCGCCCCGGAAATGCAGCCTCTGCGCCGCGGCCCGCACGGCTTCCGGCACGTCGAACGCTGTGCCAGACTCGGGGAACCCAAACTGCGTCTTGCGCGGGAAGAAGTTGCGCCACCAGGCGCTGTCGGCGTCCTTTAGAGTGATGATGGGTTTCGCGGCGGGCGCGGTGCGAGACATACCGTTGGCGAGCATAGCGTTGACGAGCGTCTCGACGTGGCCGACGGTCCAAGGCAGGCCTAGCGGAGAGTCGACGAGCCGTGCGGAGGCGGCGAGGCGCTGGAAGACGGTGGTGCCCTCGATGTCGACGGCCGCGTTGGTCAGGTTCGCAAAGGAGGTCTCGATGAGGACTTTGCGGCTGCCGGGTTTCCAGGTCACGGGGAAGGGCCAGCCGTCTGTCCAGACGTGGTTATCTATGTTGATCCAGGTGTTGGCGCCGATCCATTCTGCGTCTGTGAGGCATCCGTAGACGGCGATTCCTCCTTGGCGTGGGAGGGAGATGATAGCGCCGATGGAGACGTTGGCGGCTAGGTCTCCTTTGGGATCAATGTCGAAGAAGGACAGCTGGGGGGTCGTTCCGTTGAGGGTTGTCCATAAAGCTTGCGTTGCCGGGTTCTCTAGGGCCATGATATCGGTGTTATTGGTGAGAGAGGCCTCGTTCCGAACTTCTGGAAAGTTGACAGGACGACGACGATCACCGGACGTGGTGTTGTTGCCATCGACCATGGTAACGCGACATCGAGTCTCCATAGACGCGAGCTCCTGGAACGTCGAGTACCGATAGTCCGACCCGCGGTAATACTTCTTCTCCTTTTGATCCATCAACGTAAGGGCATCCTGCCAGAGCATCGTAGTCGCTGCCAACGTGGCACCCGTCACACGATGCGGCAGCGTCATGCGAGACTCGGCCCACCCGCGCGGCACACCGGGTTCGCGAACGGACATTGACAACTGCAGAATCGATTCCGGCGTGGCGAGCGGGAAGAGCGCCGGGATGCGGATGTACGACCCCTTTGTGACGTTGAGAATGGCCTGGTACGGGAGGTAACTCACGAGGTGCGTCAACGAGTCCCAGCCGGCTGACGGGCAGTCGAGGTTGCCGGCCCTCTCGCACACGTCGCCGGCTACCGTATCCGCCGCCGTCAGCGTCCGGGGAAAGATGTCGGCGCCGGCTTTATCAATGTACACCCACGACCCGCCCATCATCCACCAGTCGTTCAAGGGCGTCAGGACGGTGGCTGTCGCGGGCGCCACGACGACGGCTAGGACGCAGCACATGACGAGGAAGGAGACAAAAAAGACCTTTTTCCAGACGGTCGAGAAGCGGCCCCGCAGCATGGCCGTCATCTCGTCGGACCAGAGGAACTCGGGCGAGCTGAAGCTGTTCCCTGCAAAGAAAGCCGCCAGCGGTGTCCCTTGGCTGAGCGTCACCTCGCGACGGACGAAGGTGAAGATCATGGTGGTGAGGGAGCCGATGATCATGATCTCGAGGAACTTGGCGGCGAATTGGATCAGCAGGTTGGCCGACTTGTCCCACTCCCGGTTCGGCGTGAGGTCCGCGCCGATCCAGTACTCGTGGTAGATGAGGTGGCTCATGATGGCGGTGGCGATCAGGGGCGGGACGTGGACCATGATGGCGAGGAGGGCCATGGGCCGGTTCTTGAAGATGACGACCTTTGTTTGGTTGCGGATCGAGTCGCGGACGTTGTAGAATAGACGATAGAGGGAGTGGAAGCTCCATGCCTTGAGCGTGTTTTGGAGGACAGCTCTGAAGCTGAACTTGCCTTCATACACTTCGTAGGGAGTCGTTTGGTCGTTGAGTCTAGCCGACAGGTCAGCACTTACAGCCTGGCTTGTGGTATTTGTGCCCCAGCTTGAGGTCTAGTTCTGTTTCATGGGCAACTGGGATTATAATCACCTTTCTGTATCCTTGAAATCATGAGTGTCATTTTGGTCTAGGAAATTTCCTCGACGTCCTGGCGGGCCGCCATCTTGTGGATGCAGAAGAGGGACGAGAGGCTCTCCCCTTTCACCAGTCAAACGAACTTCAGTCATTGTAAGGTCCTCCCTTTTCGACGGGCATCACTCGACAGTGATATCTCACCCAGGATACACATCGCACCCGGAAACTTGAATACATTTATCAGTTGTTCTCCTACACCACAGCATTCTCAGCTCACAACAAAAGGGAACTTTGACTGCGGCCAACAGGGGCATGATGCAACATTAGAGGACAGGGTGCTGGCCAGGCACCAAGATAAAGTTCTCCAAGCCCGGCTCCGGTGAAGCGCTTAAGCCGTGGCATCAACCATCTCATTGGATGTTGAATTCGAGATCCGCTTTCGGGAACGACCTGAAGCTGTCATATTGCGATGCCGCTCATGCGTGTCAGACTGTAGAATCCTTCCGCTGAACACCCAACCTCTTTTACGTCCTTTGGGCACAGGGACGGCAAGGCTGAGGAGCCATATCCCTGTGTGGGTGATTAGTTCGGAGGATGCTGACAGTCCAGGTCCATTGCATACGTGCGTAATTCCGACTTCTCTGAGTTTGTCATTCCGAGAACATCAGGTCATCAGCCAACGTCAGTTCGAACGAAGGTGTGAGCTGGGCTCTCAGCGCCTAAGGGATAAGCTTATTGTACCGCAGGCGCAGGGGCCCGCCTTGGGCCCGGCAGCCCGCAAGATCTCGCTGAGGTAATCAGTACCTATCGAAACCCCCACGTCCTGAGAGTAGTGCCTGCGACCCTGCTCGACCAACCCCAGGTGGCCCAGATCTGTAGATGCTCGGCGCGTGGTCATCGACTTCTCCACACCACCTGAGTGGACGATAGCGATCCGGTGAACGCGGCGCATGATTGCTTGTCTCTCTTCTACTCGTTCCCCAACGTCAACAACGTCCCTTTGAGTCGCCCTGTTTACACGTGCGACCTCGTGATACCTCGAACGGTTCAAGAGCCCCAGGGAGCTGTGCGACTCGGTCATTATTCGACTAACCCACACGAGCCGGCGCATTCGGGATTCTGTTCGACCGGGAGGACGGATACCGACGGGAAATCTAAACGACGACCATACACGCCCTTAGCTTCGGTCACTCCCTCTACGCGGGCTGTCCTACTGACAACGTACTGCATTCTTCCCACCTGTAATTCAGGCAACGTATCCGTAATCGACTCTCCGGACCTCGACGGAATTGACTCTCGAGCTGAGGCAGATCGCCATCTTTCACCACCAACCTACACCCACCGACGGCGAGACAGATAACACAAGATGGAGCGCATCAGGGAACTGCTAGGCAAGCACCACAAGCCGGATCGGCAAGAGTACGAGCCTCTCGCCGAGGAGGGCCGGGAATTCGACGGCTCCACGCTGGAGGAAGACCCGGAGGAGGTGCCGTTCTCGTGGACCGAGTACATTATGTTCGCCTGGCTGGGCATGGCGATGCTATGGGCCTGGTACGTCGACATTCGCTCTCCCATCACCAACACCCTTGTCCCCCAATGGGCAAAAGCAACGATGGCTAACACAACTCTCTCTATACAGGAACATGTTCCTCGCAGCAGCCCCCTACTTCCAAGTCCGCTTCCAATCCGACGTCTGGATATCCCAAAACTTTCAATCCGCCATCCTCACCGTCTCGACCCTCACGAACCTCACCGCCATGCTCATCCTCACGAACATCCAATACGCCGCCTCCTACCCCTTCCGCATCAACCTCGCCCTCCTCCTCAACTGCGTAATCTTCTCCTTCCTGACGGCCTCCACCTCCTTCGCCCTCGACGTCTCACCCGGCGCCTACCTCGCCTTCATTCTCCTCATGGTCGCTTCCAGCTCCTGGGCCACAGGGCTCATCCAAAACGGCGCCTTCGCCTTCGCCGCCTCCTTTGGTCGGCCCGAGTACATGCAGGCCTTGATGGCGGGGCAAGGTGTAGCCGGCGTCCTCCCGCCCATCGCGCAGGTCATCACCGTCCTCGTCGTCCCCGAAAAGGACACCACGAACTCCACCACGACCGCCCAAGACGACATCAAGTCCTCGTCCTCCTCGGCGTTCGTCTACTTCCTCGCCGCCGTCGCCGTCTCCGTTTCCGCCCTGCTGGCTTTTATCCCCCTCGTCCGCCGCCACAACCGCATCATCGAAGCCCGCATGGTCAACACCCTCGCCGAGTCCCTCACCTCGGTCGAAGAAGCCGAGCGCGCCGCCCGCAAGGTCGTCTCCCCGCTCACCTTGCTCCGCAAGCTCCACTGGCTCGCCGGTGCCATCTTCATGTGTTTTTCGGTCGCCATGTTCTTCCCCGTCTTCACGGGCAAGATCCTATCCGTCCGCTACCCAGGCGACGAAAAGTCCCCCGCAGGCATCCTATTCCGCCCGGCCGCTTTTATTCCTCTTGCCTTCTTCGCCTGGAACCTCGGCGACCTCTCCGGCCGCATGGCCACTATCCTCCCCTTTTCCCTACGCCACCGGCCCGCGGCCCTCTTCGGCGTCAGCCTCGCCCGCATCGGCTTCCTCCCGCTTTACTTACTGTGTAACATCGGCGGCCGCGGCGCCGTCGTCAGCAGCGACTTCTTCTACCTGGTGGTCGTGCAGTTCTTCTTCGGGCTGACCAACGGTTGGCTCGGCTCGAGCTGCATGATGGCCGCGGGCGAGTGGGTCGAGGACGGCGAGCGCGAGGCCACGGGCGGGTTCATGGGCTTGTGCCTCGTTGCTGGGTTGACGACGGGTAGTCTTTTGAGCTTTACTGCTGGTGGTATTTGAGTAATGGGTATATTGGTTAATTTGCATGTGTACGGCGTAATGGGAGATGTGCATAATTTCTATCTCAATTTGGCATACTTTTGAATTGGTCTTTGGATGGCGTTTGAGCATACGGGGTAGGAGGACGTGGGTATGATAACTGTCATAAAGACGGTCAATAATAGTTGACCCTAAAGACACGCATTATTCAATCCATTATTGATTCAATCGGAAGACAACGCAATTGAAGATTGTATGGATGATTGTCGGACGTGGTGTCGTGGTGTTCCAAAAATTACATTACGCTTTGTTTTGCTACAAATACACTACTACTGTACAGCCGCTTTGACTTCGACGTCCTTTAGGCCTGGAGTGCGCAGTTCACCATCTTTCCGCGTCCGGTGTACCAGCCCTCGTCGATCAACGCGCGCTCTTTCTCCTGCCACTCTTGAAACTTCCAGGACACGTTCTTCTTGTCGAGATCGGCAAGTTTGGCCTCAAACGAGTCCGCAACCACAATCTCCTGTGAGCCCTTCTTCTCGAGGCGGTATCGCATGTAGAGGGAGCAGTCTCGCAACGTCATGGCGATACTAAACTCCTCGTCGTTTTTGTTCGCGTTCAGGGGCCCGCGGGGATCCTTTTGGGTCTGGTGCCTTTTCAATAAGGTGAGGATGGGCGTCTTCTTCAGCAGTTCGTACAGGATAGAGGCGTGCTTGTTGTCTCCGGCGCTGCTGTACTGAAACAAGCTGGAGATAACCTTTTGACGCACATCCTCCCTGCCCTTCGGTGTCTCTCTCTCGGGGTCCAACCAGAGGGGACACGGATAGTACCGCGGGTTGCTACCGGCGTCCTTGCTGTCTTTGAACTTCTTGGCCGCGAGTGCGCAGCAGCGACAAGTGTTGGCGTCTCTCGGCGCGGATGGCGACTGGGCGAGCCATTTTGGCTTAAATTCGACTACGCGCTCGTCGGCGCTCCGCGCGCGCATGCTCTCGATCAGGCAGGCCCTATCTGTTTCCATGATCTTGGTGTTTTCGAACTTGGCGGGCCGCTTTTTGGCTCCCGCCGGAGCTTTGTTCAGCGCATCCAGGACGTTCTGCATGTGCTTCATGGCGTCTTTTGGGAGAAATGCATATTTCATGTCGGTTAGTATATCCGCGCGGTAGGTGAAGAGAGGAGCAATGGTGTCCCAGAAATAAGACCACTGCTCTTCTGGCGGATAGAATGGTTTGTCGCCACCTTTGGGTTGCTTTGGTACTCTCAAGAGGTATTCTAAAAGCAGCATTAGTAGTAGTTCAGGATGGGGCATGTAAGAGATATGTGAAACCCACTTGTTAATAAGTCTTCCTCGGTCCTGTCTTTGTCATCCTGCCGCGCAAACTTGGTATATAGAAACGGGATGAATAGAACGTTGGCAGCACCTTCACCGACATAAATGGCGTGTGTCCAGGGGCTAACATGAACATTTTCGTCCGATACTAGCACTCCCATATTGAAGACCTTGCCCGATGCTGGGCTATGCTCCCTGGGGACATCTTTGGACGATATCTCTGCAACCGCCTTCACACTGAGCTTGGTATTGATCGATGTGGGAGGGATCAATAGTTTGGCCATGACGAGGAAAGCGGAATGAAGCGAGACTTGTGTGTTGGAGATTGGAGGCCTAGTGTTGGCAACGAGTGTAGACTCTTTGATACGGACGAGGGGCTGAAGATTGGCGAGCTGCGAGAGCCTGCTATTGAGATAGCGAGTGGCTGGATCGAGGCGAATAGTAGGTAGGTAAGGCGTCCAGATGGCTTCACAAGGCGACCGTATTAAGCGATGATGTCTGTGTGAAAAGAGAAGAGACTCTCATGGCGAGTTGCAAAGAGGTAAGGAAGGCGGTACGGTAGTCTGGAAGGAATGTGTCTTTTTTCCCAGCTGAACTAAGGTAAGAACCAATGGCCTACCTGCCGCAACTGGTGGCAGCAGCAAGTGGTCTAGCAAAGCGCAGTTTCCCAAGGTTGGCGGTGGTGACTTGGAGGTGTCTCACGCCAACAACCCTCCCGTCTTTCTCTCTCTGTCTCTCGCTCCCGCTTCTCCGCTCTTGCCTGATCTGGCTCGGTGCCTTTGCAGGAACAATACACCTCACGGGTGAGTAAACGCTTGAAAACACGTGAGACTGGTCGGAAGGTAGTTTCCAAAGAGAGGACGGAACCGGAGCGCTGCGAGTAAGGTAAGGTAGGTAGTCTACGTCGTCAGCCGACTCGTGGTTGTCTGATCTAAGGTAGCGTTGCCAGAGTCGAGTATCGAATGAGCGCGCAACCGTTGCCTGCCCACGTTCCTATGGTTCCCCTTGGTTAGAAGATGGATTTCCGATGAGGGAGCGATTGCGACGAGGCTCCATTTGGTTGCTTGTGCTCTGTGCTACAACGGCCCTCCCTTTTGTGTGATTTTTTGCACCTTTGTTGTGTCCTCTGGAAGCCAGCGGTATCCCGGGATGACGACAGACTTTCCGCTTCGGGTGTGGAGCAGAAAAGTTGGCTGATTTGGCGCTGGCTGCTGGGTAAGCTTGTGAGTTCCTACTTTTCGTTGACACTATTGGCAACAACGTAACGGTAGCAGACGGACACGACAGGCAACTTCCCTGGGGCGGGAGAGGCTGACGGGGTGGCCAATATGACTCCTCCCACAAGTTACAGCAAGTCGCGACTCATCTGTCATATCTGATTCTGGACCTTTTGGCGAGAGCGTTGGACAGGAAGCTACCACAGGCACCGCAGGGTATGTACTGTGTTACATAAGTTTTTACCCCGGAATCTTGTGAGAGGTTGATTTTCTTCTTCAATGTGCGGTTGTAGAGATGGAACCCAGGATTCCAGAGGACCCAGATGTCTTAGCAGGAACTCCTCATCCAATGCTTGCGATGACTGGCACGGCGCGCGCGTCAAACCCACATGCTTGACGTGAGTGCGGCTATCGAGCTAAAGCCCCCCATGCTGATCCAATGCAGCCAGAGGGGAAAAAGAAAGAGGGCACGATTGGGTGCAGCATTGGCGACGCGCGATTCTTCGGCCGGACTGAGCCGGAGCACGACCGAAGATTGGCCTATACAGCGCGTGAATGGACGGGCAGGTTCGCGGCTTGCCCGCTTCGTGTCAGCGCCTACCCCGCCCGGCGGGACATCTTTGGATACCTTGCACGTACTTACCTAAGGCACTCCCTAGACTCCCAGAGTAGCACGAAGTAGGTAGGTACGTAGTAGGCTGGACTTCGGAGGCTCAGAAAGCCTAGGGCGCATTGCGTCGTTTTCTTCCTTGCTGGCGTCGCCCGTTGGCTCCTTTCCCCCGAAGAGCGGGGCATTGCGGAGAAGCGTTCAATGACCTGGGACTGAAGGAATGATGGGTCCAAGGTCCGCGGAGAGAAGGAGGGGAAAGTTCGAGGAGAACGAGACATTGGACGGGAGACACGCGATGGCAGACTCCAGAGTCCAGAGAATGGAAGTAAACCTGATAATTAGAAGCAGTCAAGAAAGAATAGGGTAAGATCAGTCATGGCAGGGATGGGGGCACTGACCGGCAAATCGGACAGGATGTTGGACCCGAGAGCGATTCGAGCGCCGCGATGATATGATCTTCTGCCCAGTCAACCCTGCTCAGCCCGGCCCGGCGACAAGACTTTGTATCCGGATTGTTCGTGTCTCTCTGCAAACCGAGGGGCATCACTGTGGATGCTGATATGACGGATTCCCTTGTCGCATGGCTCCAGATGGATTGAATAAGACCATGTCATCTTGTTTGCCAAATCCAGCCTTCAGGCATGGGCAAGCTCCCAAAAGGGACAGGCAGAAGAAGCAGGCCCTGCATTTCTGGCAATTATCAGAATACCTGGCTGTCAGGTTATGCTTTTCGCATTAGAGTATCCTGATGTCGGACCACATCCAGCACCTGTCTTTCGATATCGTCCCATGTTTGCTGACAAGCCAGCTCGTGATCGGCCCCCGGGCAGCAACGGACCAACAGCCAGAGAGCAAAAAGACGCAATGGCACCTTGGAAGCGGGCTTTCCACCCCGACTAGGGCGGGATCCAAAGGGCTGAAGTGTCGGCCAGCCCAGATCTTGCTGAAGAGTTCTTTGGGATACTCGATTTGATTCGATTCCCCAGATGGTTCGCCGCGCTTGTGGAAACGAGGGTACAACTCTAAATCGTCCACCGTCTTTTGGTTCCGGTGCCTTGGTGCAGGCTTCGTCTGGCGCATCTCTTGATGTTCAAGGTGGTCATTCGTGTTACCGGTACCGTACCTCGGGACTTTCGATAGCATTCGGTATCCGTAAGCTAGGTACCTTGCGCGGCCGATGGAATTGGAGGTCCTCGAGTGACTCGCATAACCGCTAATCTGCGAACCTCCGGCTCTGTTGCAACTTCACAAGCAAATATGCAAATGAACCAACCAGGCCAGCGGCACTAGGTACATCCGGCGCATAGCATATCATATCATTAGCCGTTGATGGTGCCCAGCGTGGCAGTGAATGTGAATCTCCAGTGTGTCCACGCAGAAGCAGGGTGAGGTTGCAGCGAACTCTGGAGTCTTGACTCTTGGGTCCTGCACTGAGAGGGTGGACCCACCGTTTCCCTTCCCACTCCAGGTCCTGGGTTCTGAGTCCTTCCTCCTTTTTCAACGGGAGCCGGCCGTGGCTTGGGGCGCCCGTCACGCTGCAGGCCGTTGCAGTGGAAAACTGGAGTCCTCTCGGTGGGAGGAACTGGAGGTAAGGTAGGTACCTCCTGGACGGAATACTTCGAGGTAGAGGGTAGGTACCAAAGGTAATGCCCACCCGACCCTTCCAAAGCTGGGACGCGCTCAAGTGGACGCTCACACGCTCCTGCCTCTTGGTGGCCCCGCCCAGTGACCCTTTCCCGCACCACACGCGACACTCGCAGGAGCCAGCCCCAGCAAAGGGGAGTCGCATCTGTCACAGCACCTGGTCATCCACCCAGTCAGAACACAGCCAAAGCAAAACAGCAGAAAGAAAAAAAAAAAAAAACAGCCGGCACAATTTTTTGCAAAAATTCGCGCTAATGCTGCATCGGCACCGCACGCACCACTTAGCTCCGAGTATTCCCTCTGCTTCCCGAACAGCGAAAGAAGGAGAAGGAGATAGGCACCTTGCCTAGGCACTCCGTACATACAACCAGCGTCATTCGCTGGAAAACGCACGCCTCCCACGCACCGCACTCTACCTACCTCCATTTCCTCTCTACCACACAAACAAGCACCACGAGCTTGATCTTCATCCCGACACCTCCCACCCTCATTATCCCTCCGCCTTCTCCCCAGACCATCCAACTCTCTCTTCCCCGGACTATATCATCTAATTGCACCTGCTCCTCAACGAGTCCGTTCTACTATTTGTACTGCCTTCGAACCCGATATCGACGCAAACCTTTCGTCATTGATCCCGAAGCACCGTACCTGACATCACCAACTCATCCGTCTCTCCCTATCGACCCTCGGCCGACCGGCCTGCATCACCTTGCTCTTCGATGGTTGGCCGCAGCTAAAGCCATTTCAACATGGCCTTCAACTTCAACTGGTCGCCTCTCACGGCCGACGCAGAGTTCTACCAGCGCGCACGAGAGCTGCTCACGACCGCCCTGAACAAGAACCCGAAGCCTCCGATTATCGTCGATGACATCCTCGTTACCGAGTTCAACTTGGGCTCCGTGCCCCCGGAATTGGAAATATTAGAGATTGGCGACATTGCCGAGGACCGATTTCGCGGTATATTCAAAATGTGCTATTCGGGCGACGCCTTCTTGACCTTGAAAACGAGGGTTCAGGTATGCTGCTTTTTTTTTTCGTTCCCTCTATTCCGCAGGTACCTCCCTGCACGCAAACTCCAGAGGCGAAGCTCGGGTTCGCAGCCGCCGCCGCAACAAGCTCGCCAATGCCTGCACCACGACATCACATTCACGAGTTCGGAATAATTCCCGTTCCAGTCGTTATCGCAGTGCGCCAGATCAATTCTGCGTCGCGAACATGACTCCCATACCAGCGTCTGGAATGCCCTGGGGGCCCCCATCGGAAAGCCGAGACAGCACCCAGTGATGCTTTCCCCCCGAAAACATCATCATTTCACCAACCACAATCATTTCTAGTTTTTCAGATGCTTCCCGCTATCGTTACCCCATTCACCCTGGCGTTTGTTTTTCCCTCACCAAACATTTCTTTCCTACCCGTGTGCTTGCATTGAAGTCGAAATTACCTGGCCGGGATCCGCGTCCCATGTTACTACCTTCGGCTGCCCCCCAAAATGCACGTGCGTCATAGCAATGCTAATATATCAACAAATAGGCAAATCCAATGAACACCTACCTGTCGTCCAAGCCGGGGTTCACATCGCCGCAGCCACTGGCCGCCGCATCGGGTCTTACAATTCCGCTGTCAATAACGCTCTCTGAGATCAAGCTTTCAGCCTTCATTATCCTAGTCTTCTCACGGCAAAAGGGGTTGACCCTGGTCTTCCGCAATGACCCGCTCGAGTCGCTCAAGGTCTCCTCGACCTTTGACTCGATCCCATTCGTGCGCGATTATCTACAGCGCACTATCGAGTCCCAATTAAGAAATTTGATGATGGACGAGCTCCCCGCCATTATCCACCGGCTTTCTTTGCGCTTGTGGTGTCCCGATGCTCTGCCAAAGGAGGAAGAGGCACCCAAGGAGGATGAGGAAGAAGCTGAAGTTGATCCCTTGGCGAGCCCTCCTCTGGATCCCGTTGATGCGAATGGAAATCTTCTCGACGCCAATGAGGTTTCCTCATTATCTCTCGAAGGCGGCCCGGAAGTCCAGTCGCTCTTCTCCCAGAAGAACCTCTTGAGACTAGCTGCGCTGAACGACTCCCACCGCACATTCTCTCTGTTCACCCCGGGCATTCGTGATGTCGTGTTCCGTGCCTGGACAGGACCTGCGGTGTCCGAGCCGACTAGCACCCCACCGACAGCAACGCCTAGCTTGTCCAAGACCAACTCCTTCCATGGAACGTCTACCACGTACACTTTCTCCGATACTGGCAGCGCCGCTCATGGCCACCTTCCGTCCAGACCGTCAATGGTGAGCCTCAGCTCGGCCACTACTGGTCTGTCCTTGGGTGCCGGTATCCGGTCAAAGTCGTACGCTGGTCGCAAGAAGAAGACAAGAGTGGTCAACCTCCGACGCTCAAAGAGTCAAGTTGGCGAGACTCCCGAGGGCAGCGAGACTTATTCAGAAATGGCATCCGACTCTGCGTCTGTCGCCGGTCCCTCAACTGAGCCTCTCATGACCAGTTCCATCGCTGAAGACATCGAGGAGGAGGAAGCGTTGGCGAATCTGGCAGAATCGACCCCTAGCAAGGTTCGCTTCGGCCCTCTGGAGAGAACGCGGCTGCCCTCTCGACCTCCTTTGCAGCCGGAGTTTTACACGGCGCCCCAGGATGGTGCTAGTGTGCCTATCAAACTGGACACCGCGTGCGAGTCCGAACCCGCCGTTACGCCCCAAGCCCAAAACGAGAAGGCCGCCGCGGAGAAGCCGCGCCAGGGCGTGCCATCCGAGCCGTCATCTGTATATGAGCAGGCTTGGATCATGAAGATGGCTGGCGAAATCGCTCGTCGCGTTTACGATGAGAAGAGCCGCCACCCCAACCTCTGGGACGAGCGGGAAGACGTCCCGCCCCCGGCCTACGAAGCATCAACTTAAATCACCTGTTTACCACAGGTGATTGTACAAATTGTGCAAAATCACCATACATCCACTTTGCTGGACTGCATCTCCTTTCCATCTGTTCCATCACTTCCTCCTCGCATGGCGTTAGGGGAAACTCCTCAACTTTTTGGTTTTGTTTTTTTAACCATGGACGACAATGGTACATCCATTTGTCCATTTTGCTATTAGTGTTAATGTGTACATATCACATGGCGTTGAAAGGGAAACAAAGGGGGATACCGGGTATCATACAAAAAAGAATGGGAATGGATCAGAGAGAAACGGCCTCACTCTGATTACATATTTGGATTCTCGGGTTGGGATGAAGACAGAGGCCAACCAACCACGCTAGTTTACACGATGACGCCACGACCGAACAGTTGATTTTCCCTTTTTTACGAGAAAAAAAGGGCGGCTGTTTTACCTCGGAGTCATAAAAGTCATCGGTATACTACACCACCCCAAATAGCTCGCCAACGAGGCGGGCTGATTTATACAGAACACATCACAACCATCACAACTTTTTTTTTCCTTTGTCATTTCAGAAATATCGTATCGCGAATCATCCCCACCGAACACCTCGATGGATCGGATGGGTAGAGCTGGTGTGTACAACAACACATGGGAAAGAAGGGAATTGGGCTTGCTTGGAAATCGCCCATCACAGATTTTGATTGATTGAAAGAGGAGGAACGCCGTTGATGGAAGACGGAAATATCGTGGATATCCATTTTTTGTGTCACTTGCGATCAAAATTACTATTTCAGGCACTGGCTCACAAGACGAGTTTCACGGCGCTTAGACGCATGTCAATTTTAGGCATGTCTGAAGAAATCAAAAAACTCCCATCTTCTATGCATTTCGTTGTTCACACCGCTTTAACTTGCATGTGAGGTATAACTTTTTGTTCACCGCCGGACCGTGCTTTTATCGCTCGTTTTTGTAACTCCACAGTCGAAGCAAGGCTCCCTGCCATCTGCGCTGTCATGAAAATATGTATGTATGGATGCCTGGTGCTAGCCTTGCTGTCAGAGATAGCCCTGTCCACCGTCCGGCCCACCAGTCGGACCCTCGTCCTTTGACCTCTTCTTCTCGGGCAGTTCTGCTTCCGGTGATGCTTTCCGCTTTCCCACCTGTACGCCGGGCGGCGCCGGAGGAGGACTCAGTATCGTAGACTGACTCGAAGTATCGTCCGACATCTGTACATCTGGCTCGTCCCTGCTCGTCTGAGAATGCATCGACATCGTGTCTGCGATTGCGTCGACCCTTGTCGGTGGGGCAGGCTCTTGAACTTGGCTACCGCAGTTGTACATCTCTTCGAGGCTACTGTTCGGTACCAGTCGACACTGGGAGCGCGCCGACGCGGAGTAGTTTGAGTGGAAGAGACAATATGTTTGTCCTAGTCCGGTGTCTGACGTGCCAATCCCAGGACCATGGTTGACCTCCACATGAGGGTTTGTCGAGCCCGCGACGCCAGCCGCTAACGCCTGCGTTGGCCTATTCCGATAATCATTCTCATCTCGATGCCATCTCGGGGCTCCAGGAGGCTCTGCTGGCCACTGCTGTTCGCCATCGGTCATGGCGGTATCCATGTTGTTGTTACGCCTGGGGCTTGGTGTTCTAAAGCGTGGTTCCTGTTGATGGCGGATGGGCGAGCTGCCACAGTCCATCTCATCGTCTTCCGTATCATCGCCGCCGCCTCGCAGCCTGGGTTGATCTCGATACATTGCGCAAAAGTAATCCTGCTTGGACCGAGTTCGCAAGAGTAATGCAACCGATATCAATAAGAATGCCAGACGCAGAGTCAGCACCGTGTCGTTAGACGGTTGGTAGGCTCTGTGCTCCTAGACACGCTGGCTAATGAGCTCCAACTCTGCCTTGACGCGTTTGAGCCTCTCCTCGTCCTTGGACAAGGCAAGTAGATGGGACGCGACAGCCACCTTACGAGCAGGTCTTCTAGCTGCTACACTGGGCGGTTCCTAACCGGCCGTAGCAGCAGCAGCGTTCTCTGCTTTTAGCGCAGCCAGCTGGGCCTCCTTCTCCTTGAGAATCTCCAGCTGCTGCTTGGCCATTCCCTTGGCCGTGGTCTCGGCCTCCTTGAGCTTCTTGACCTCGATCTGCTCTGTCTCGAGACTGAACGGCTGGCCAGGCTTGTTGACGGCGGGCAGCAGTGCGCTGCGCTCCCACGCCACCTGGACGTTTGATGTCTTCTCTGGCAAGGCCGGGATCGGTTTGTTCTTGCCTTTGCCTCCTTTGCCAACTGTGTGGCCCTTGGGATGAGCACCGGAGGTGAGCACTTCGTAAAAGGCTTCGTACGGCTCGTTGAAAAGCTGTTCGTCGTAGGCCCAAGCGCGGATCTCGCCGTCGTTCTGTCGCAGCATCTGCTCCTTCTCGGCGTCGGTCCGTCCGTATGGGTGAAGACGCAGGTTGTGGTACAGCGTCTGAGGTTTCTCTCCCGACTCGGTCGCGTAGTAGATCTTGATGGTGATTTCAAACTCTCCCCATCCGGTTTCTTGGATAAGGAACGGTTTGCCCGGTTCGCCGTCGATCACTGAGTGGTGGTTTAGCAAGCGCATGATTGCGCCAGGACTCGGTGCAAGGGCAACTTACTGCGAACGTGGTTAGGAATGGACTCGTGTAGCTTGAACTGCACTCTCCGAATCCAGTACGTGATGTCGATATCGTCGATGGCCTTGACAAAGACCTCCCATGAATGGGTGTGATCTGCCGGTACGCCTTCCGGCTTGGGGTTGGATTCGGGGTCGAAGGGTCGGGCGGTCGTGCCGTAAATGAAGGGTCGTTTAATCTGTGTACCCTTTACGCGTTTGCCGAGGCTGCTGGGCGGCGCCATATTGATGGGTTAGATAAGTGTTGCTCGGGTGATGCGATGCGTTCTGGTCAATGCCCAATGAGAGTGCCTGAGTAAGTTTGTGAGGATGTAGTGGGGAGATTTGGGTGTTGTCGAAAATGGACCGCAAGCTAAGACGGCAAGAAAATGGTAAGAAAATGGTTCCTGGCGTCGACAGCCTTACGCCAAAGTTTGAAGTGGGGCATCCAGTAAACCAGCCAACAATGACCGTCTCTCTCGGGTCAGCCCCTGCCGAAGAGACCCTTTGCGCCGTGCCTACTCCGTACGTTACCTTCAAGGACTTAATGTTCCTTGCACTGCGTGATTGCCCGCAAAGTTCCCAGGTATTCTTACCTCGATCACCTCAGTGTTAAATCCAGGAAGCAGCGGTCTATAAGTCTTTAAACATTGCTATCGAGGGTCGATCTCCTTGTGTGAAGGGTAACGAAGCGAGCACCACTCAATGGTGACAGGAACACAGAATGATTCGACCTTTATAATCTTGTAGTACTTTGAATTTTCTGTGATTTATTTCGACTGCTTCTTGGATTACGAAGTCATCTCCGATCTCTGGAGCCTCTTCTAGTTTGGGCAGTATCAAGGTAGGTAAGGTAAGGTAAGGTAAGCTGGAAACAGTGGAAGGTGCAGCCACCATCGCGCACATCGAATCTCGAGCCAATGGGGAGCTTGGGGGAAGAACTGCCCCTCCAACCCCTGTAGCTAGCTGCAACTCTTTAGTTGGTGCAGCACCTGCAGCACCTCAGCCTGCATCATAGGGAAGGACCCCTGACAGGTTTTAACTGGGGAGCTGGGTAGCTGGGGCAGCTTCCGGACGGGTGATGATTTCATGACTTTTTTGAGCTTTCCATCCGCGTCCGGAACGGCATCGAACCACCTTCGGAAGAAATCTGGCAATCACCTAGCGCCGAACCCGGTCGGCATTTCAATTTGACTCCATCACCGTCGATCCGGCTCACTCTCTCCTTTCGTCTCACTGCACTTTGTCACCTCCAATTAGTGCTGGTTCTCATCTAATTGGTTGCCTGGGTCACTCTCATCTCATACATCGTCCCGTTCATTTCATTCAGTCACACTCTCATCATGTCAACCTCAGCCGTAGCGAAGAAGCTCGTAGTGTGCGGCGGCAACGGCTTCCTCGGGTCAAGAATCTGCAAGTATGCCGTCGCCAGGGGCTGGGACGTCACATCCATCAGGTACTCATCCTCCTCGTGAACCAATCTCATGTTTCTCCCTTCATCCCCGCTAACACGTCCTCCCCACAGCCGCTCAGGCGAGCCCAAATGGTCCGCCGTGACCTCATCACCATCCCCTCCCCAATGGTCACACAAAGTCTCCTGGGAGCGCGCCGACATGCTCAGCCCAGTAACCTACGCGCCCCTCCTCAAGGGCGCCGACTTCGTCGTCCACAGCATGGGCATCCTCCTCGAAGCAGACTACAAGGGCGTCGTCTCGGGCCAGGAGTCCCCCGTCTCGGGCCTGCAAAAGGCCTTCGCCCCCGTCAAAGACCGCGGCGTCGACCCCCTAAAGACCTCCGCCGAGCCGGGCGGCGGCCCCGGGGCGGACCTCAAGCCGCCCAACCCGAAGGACCAGTTCTCCTACGAGGTCATGAACCGCGATAGCGCCATCGCCCTGGCCAAGCAGGCCAACGCTGAGGATGCAAAGGCCTTTGTCTACGTCTCTGCCGCTGGCGGGGCGCCCGTCCTCCCCGCGCGGTACATCACCACCAAGCGCGAGGCCGAGAGCACCATCGCCAGCGAGTTCCCGCGGATGAGGGGCATCTTCCCGAGGCCGCCCTTCATGTACGACAGTTCGAGGAAGTTCACGCTGCCCCTGGCCGCCATGACGGGCGCCGGTGCCCTGTTCAACAGACTGACCGGTGGCGTGTTGAGCGGATTCATGGGCGCGAGCGGCGTGAAGCCTCTGCCGGTCGAGACCGTCGCGGAAGCAGTGGTGGAAGCACTTGATGACATTAAGGTTCAGGGCCCGATTGAGGTTCCCGAGCTTGAGGAGTTGGCAACCAAGGGCTGGAGGAAAACGATGCTCTGATGTATTGAGAAGATTGTATTTGTAATATGCCATAGACTGTACCATCCTCCAATGCGAAGCCTTGAAATGGATTGAAAAGCCATCCTCCAACCTTGATCTCTAGAGCAGATCAAGTAGACTTTACCTCTGTCCTCGTAAGCCAAACCCAAGGTATCAATTAACCCGCAAGACGAAAAAAAGAGTTCACCACCGGTGTGGCTACATCTCTTGGTGCTCATGCTGGGATTCGAACTCGGGTACTCGCTAAGCCTGTCGTCGAGTAGGCTGGTTGGCGTATAGATTGTTGACCATTAACCACTCCCCCACCCAGCCAGTTTGACCTGGCCCGTCGACCTAGACGGGTGCCTGCTGGCTGGTGACGGGAATGGATTTGAGGGGGGGTATAAGGGCTTCCCTCTGTGTTATTCGGGTGTATATTCTGGCAACGGGGAAAGGCGATCGGATGAAAGTTGGAAGGAACGTACGGTTAGCACCGTTACTCTTTAGATTCCTAGCCGGACTATGCAGGTACATTAAACAGGTCTCTGAACGCAAGAGCATCCCAATTTATCCCAAACGCCAGCGCTTAAATCATGGTTCCTCGCTCAAAGCTGTCCCTAATCTCCGCAGTATACTTATTGTAGAAGCGCGCCAGCTTCTGGTTGAACTGCTTGTTCTTCTCGTTGATGTACGTCACGTCACCGTCGTCGCCGTTCTGTGCCATGCGGTCCTTTCTCTTCTTGAGTCTGTTCGCCTCCGCCCTCCTAAGGTCTTCCACCAGCCGATCCACTGCCGCCTTGTCCGGCTTATTCTGTGCGAATGTGGTTGAGTCGGCTGTCGAGTAGAAAGACCCGTCCTTATCCACCGCGATGAGCTCACCATCCTCGGTCTCAACAATATCGAGGCCGCCCGAAGCAGCGGCGCGCTCGATAGCCGCCATCTTGTCCTTTTCGTACTTTTCCATGTCGGGGGCAATATTCCTCAGCTGGCGCTTGTACACCTTGTTGCTTTCGGCAGTGTAATCTTGGAATGCGTTGTTGTCGCGGTGCGCCTCCTTCTTCTTCACATGTTTATCCCACTTCTCGCTCTCGTCAATCGTCCAGTCCCAGGCGCGCTTCCGCTCAAAGTCGCCACCAGCGTCCTCAATGTCGGCCTTGAGTAGCTTCTGCGAAGCGACGGCCTGCTTGCGGTGGATCGCCGTCAGCTGGCTGGGGTCTGATGCGAGACGTTGTGATTCGAGCGTCGCCTCTTTCAAATTCTGGTCGGACGAGTTCTTAGCGCGGGCTTTGAGGGCCTTGAAGCGCGCCAAACGGTCCTGTGATTTTGCCGCGGCATCTTCCGCCGTGGGCTGTGGTGGTGCTGCTGCGGTTTCTGCTGTCGCGGATGCGGTTTTCGTGATCGTGCTAGGTTCCGTTGCTTTGGTCTCTTCAGGCGCGACAGATTTTGCTGGCGCTGCAGTATTGGCTTCCTCCTTGGCGGCGGTACCCATATTCGTCTTTCTCTTCTTGGAAGGAGGCATTCTGGATGTGTTGCGAATCGTCTAAGGTGTTGCCGGTCGCAAGATGTGTAGATGTGGGTTGTTCAGGAATCGCGATGTATGATTTTGGTGGTTGTATGGTGATGTGAAGTAAAGTGACGAAGAAGTGGGATCTCATTGGGGGACGATAATGGATGTTCAAGTGCGACTCGACCGACGTTTCTCCGATAGGTACCGCCGCCACAGTCTGGGTGCCTTATCGATCCGTGTGGCTGATGGGTATGGCCTATGTGGCTGAAGGTCGGAAGAATAGATCGACCCACCACCGCTCCCCCGCAGGATCCATACGGGTAACGGACTCCTGCAAGAAACACCCGTGGCTGTGCGGCCGGGTCATCCCTGTCGTTGCCCCAACACCCCTGCGCCGAGAGTGCCCTTGCATCTCGTTACCTTGACGCGCCCCCTCTCAGTATGCGGCTCCCCAGGATCAGACGACTTTTCTGAGCAACGCTCGCGTGTCCGTGAATAGCCTCTGAAGGTGACCGAAGCTTATCGAAGACTAATTCGCCATACACCTCAGTCATGCGGCCACTGAGAGCCGCAGGCGTCTCTCGCAGAAGTGCAACTGCTTGCTTGCACACTACGGCGCCATCGCTGGCTCGGCTACAACGGCCGCGTGTTCACGAAAAGAAGAGGCCGGCAGAGCCGCTAGTCCCATACTCATGGCGGCCCTTCGAGGTGCCAGAGGTGGTTCTCGACCTGGACAGCTGGGACAACCCAATCGCACGGCCATACGATAAAGATGAGATGCAGACTCAGAGGAAGAAATGGGAGCAGAACTCCATTGTCGACGCCACGTGGCAACGGATCAAGCACTTTGAGTATGAACGCCAGCGTGACAGCGAAAAATTTGCCAAGGTCAGCGTCAGCCATCCTTGGTATCAGCACTGGCAGGTCACAGATCTCGACATCATGACGGCCGCTCTGAAAGGCGACTCGCGAGTCGGTCCGCAAACCCAGATTCGCCTAACGGAGGAAAAACCACATCAGAATGATGCTTGGTGTGATCTGAAGTCGGTTGCTTCGAAGAACGCAATTCCATTGACCTCGCTTCGAGACGATAAGAACTTCTTGAGCTGGTTGCTCCAACGAAGGCCCACCACGGCTTCTTTACCACTAAAGCGCCAACGGGAAACTCGAGCATTTATTCGACGACTGGAAGATCTCCAGAGCCTTCAGCGCTACCTGCAGTTTCTACTTCAGCATGGGGAGAAGGGATTTCAGCTCATTCACAACGCGGATCGGGATATTGCTTTTGTGTTATCTCGGCTCCTCACCAAGCCACCCAGGTTACGGCCCTTCATCGACCTCCTTCCCTTTATTAACAGCATCTTTGCTCTCCAGAGACAGCATGGTCTACCTGTTAGTCCTGATCTCTGTGGTATCTGTCTGATCATCTCGGCCAAGGCGTTTCAGCTACCGGCAGTATCGAGATATCTCAAGCTTGGGCTGAAAGAGGGTCACTGGGTTGGTGAGGGCTCATCTGCTTCTGATGTCAAGACTGCGGTCAAGGCGCTTATTCGATGCTGGGACAACAGAAGGCGCTTCCCAGATGTGGACCGTTCTGGAGACATAGTTCGCCGTCTACTCGGAGAGGGTTTGGGGGAGGACAGCGCTGCTTCCTTCAAGGTCGTTGCGCATCACCATCCGGAGGACGAAGGGTTGAAGGAACAGTTGGCGGAGTTGTTACATCGCGTTGCTTCCGACCCAAAATACCCTTCGTCTATGAATAGGACACCTCATGTCTTGGCGGAACAAAATTAGGGCTACCTGAAGGAAGCAGGTCCCAAAGTAATGGATGTATGCTGTACAAACATTGAGTGGGCTGAGAGAAGTCAGACCAACATCGAGGTTGGGAAGCGGTGGAGATATATATCAATCCCCGCAAATTTCAACTTCAATTACTCAACTTCATTGCTGTGCTGCATAACACCCCACGTGGGCCAAGACGCGTACCTTTTACGTCTGGTTTGCACAATGACTTGCTCATCGTATGCCAGCACCTCTACTCTCACATGATGCCTAGCTAACATACGAATCCGCAAGCCTCCTTTGACAGCGCCTCTCCCCATTCAGCCCTGTCATGCCTGCATGCGAACGCGGACTCAAATGCCATGTGGCTTGCTGAAGTTTCCAACCCAGAGGAGACTAGTCTCGAGCAAGCTGAGCCAAGTCCCGCTAATCCTGCCATTCCATTGGGTCTACAGTCCAAGTCAGGACAAGCCAAGCTCAAGCGCTTCCCTATTCCGTCCAACTGCACATAACATCCTGCGCCGTGTTCGTGTCAAGCTGGTGCTGCCACTCTCCATTGTCTCCGATACGCTACATTTCGCTATGCTTCTGCATCAATTTTCTAGCAGATGATGGATCAGTGCTGTATGTCAGCAGGAGCCATGGTGTTCTTCTGTAAATCCGGCGTGCCGGGCATCCACTGGCTCACCATAGTTGATACCTGTAAGCTGTCTCCGTCTCGCCAAGGGTAAAGGTTGCTAACAATTTCAACACAGGATAGCACGCTCTAAGTGGTATTTCTAACTTTCGTGTTTTACAAACCATGAAAATACAACCAAAACAAGAGGCGAGCCCACCAAAAGAACCACCTTGGGGTTACCGCAAAGCCCCGTAAACTCACGCATGATCTGCTCTACCTCTGGATTGAACTTCAGCAGGAGACCAGAGCAACAGGTACTTGGCAAAGCGAACCATCTCGATGCGTGGCGCTCCAGACCTCGGACTAGGAGTCCAGCTCCCTCACCCGTCCGCCTCTGGTCTGGAACGGAGCCCCCGCCAGCTCGTCTGGATCCGGCCTGGTCCGGACGCTGCAGATCAGAAATGTCTCTGACGCTGCCGCTGGTGCTTGTCAACAAGCCCGATATGTTGACAAGCCCAAACTCTGTTTTCTCTATCTTTCCCATTCTTCGAGAGGCCCCTCCCCCGTTCTTGTCTTTGTTTGAACTTTCCTTTTCCCTTCGTCCTTCGTTCTCGAGTGAAGTGATAGTCAATGTCCTGTCAAGACTGATCTACCATCGTTACGTTACCTTCTTTCCATTTTCTTCATCTCAACTTTTTAGAAATTCCGTAATTTTATCACATTCCACTGTTTAGACCAAGGTATCAGACCAGACGATCATTGCCTTGCAGTCGTCAAGTAGCCCACTTCCACCTCCCGAGACATACATAAAAGTGGGAGATCTCGATCAATCAACTCTCAATTAGCCGACTGTCCACTCCCTTTGCTCATCTTCACACGTTATGCGCATGATCCTTTCCGACTGAGGGTCGAGTATCACCAGGAACCTGGTCCGCGGATAGATCAGGATCGACATACCGCTGGCGGGAAGATAACACGGATCGCGGATCACCGCACAGAATGGCATTCTCTAGCCCCTTGTTGACGGTTTTGGCCCTGGCCTTGCTCCCGGCATCAACTTTGGCGCAGAATGATCCGGTCAACGACTTTTGCCGTCGCTTTGGGCACCAGACCGCTGTCGTCGATAACAAGCTCTTTATCGATGGCGGCCTTGTGAATTGGAATCCACTTTCATCTTTTCCAGCCAACTACTCAAGTATATCACCTCAAAAATCACACCTGCAGTCCCGTCTCCTTTTTCATCCAATGGCAACATTCAGTTCCCACTAACACCCTGTTCAGATACATGGCTTCTATACCAAGATCTGTCTTCATCTACGGCTTCGGGGATGCCCCCCCTTTACGCCAATCTCTCCAAGAATGGATCAATTCCTAACGTCGCCGGCGGTGCCCTTTGGTCTGACAATGTCAACAAGCGACTCTATCTGTTTGGCGGGGAACGCAATGCGGGGGAATCGCCTATGCCCTTCAACCTATACGGCTATGATATCCTGAATAATCAATGGGATTCTTTCGGCCCATCTCGTACGGGGGCTTCGATATCAAAGGTTAGCTACGGCGCGGGAGTCTCTGTCGATACGCGCGGCGAAGCATATTACTATGGTGGATGGTTGAGCAACGCCTCCGTTCCTGGATGGGGCACTGGTCCGCCAGTCGCAACGACCGGCTTGGTGAGATACACCATGGATACCAATAGCTTTGCCAACAACACTGGGTAAGGAGAGGAACCTTGGTCAAGCGAATGCACATGATACTAACACCTACAAAGTCCTGACAATGTACGACGTGCCGAGGGCAGCCTGCATTACATCCCCGCTGGAGACGGCGGAATGCTCATCTACTTTGGGGGCATACAGGATCTGGCTGGCAATGGAAGTTCTACCATTGGCCAGCCCATGGACCAGATATTCATATACGACGTGCTCAGCAGCAAGTGGTACACGCAGAAAGCCTCAGGTGATGTTCCTGGAATGCGACGACGATTCTGCGCGGGCGTAACTTGGGCAGGAGACCAGTCGTCCTACAATATGTGAGTACATTGCTTCATGTCCATACTCACTATTTGCAACCCATCTAACACATATTCCAGCTACATGTACGGCGGCGCCAATGTTCCAGGCGTGCTGGGCGCGGGATTCGACGATCTCTACATCCTCTCGATCCCAACCTTTACCTGGATCAAGATGTACCCCATCGGCCGCAACGGGACAGGAGACTACCCTCACCATTCAATGTCCTGCAACATCGTACCTGGCCGTGCGCAAATGATTATCTCGGGTGGCACGTTTCCGCTCTCCCAAGACTGCGATTCGCCCGGGCAGTGGGGAACCCACAACGCGGACCTCGGGAAACAGAATGCCGGCAAGGTTGTCTGGGAGTTATACAAGCCCAACAAGACAACATACGCCGTACCGGACGAAGTCATTGCCGTAGTAGGAGGCAACGGCAACGGCGGCGCTACAAAGACTGCACCGGCGGCTGGTTTCGACTACACCGACGTCAGCCTCCTCATCACGCTCACGGCCAGTATTCCGAGCCGTACGCCGACGAGAGATGTCGGCAGTACCGGTACTCCTGCTCCCACAGGAGGCCTATCTACAGGTGCCATCATTGGCATCGCGATAGGAGCTGCAGTTCTAGTCGGCGCCATCGCCTTGGGATGCTTCTTCCTGGTCCGTAAGCGTCGGTCAGACCGATTCCACACCGGAGCATCGCCGCCAGGACCAAGCCACGTATATCACGCCCAGAGCATGTCAGAAGCGTGGTCACCACCCGCGGCATCGCCTTACTCACCACCATACGGACCTTCTCCATTCACGCCTCCTCCCCTGTCCGCACATCCGCAATCACCGCACCCAATGTCCGCGCACACGGTGCCGCCGCACATGGGCCCGCCGGTAGAGCTACCTTCCGAGCCGTCATACACGACTACACCAGCGGCTCTCGCGGGCACGACGACGCTCACAAACATATCGTCCACGGCGTCGTACCCGCCGCAGCAGGCGTACTTCCCTGAGACGACGACGCTGCTAAATCAGCCGCAGTACGACGCCCACGGCAACATGTGGATGCCGCAGGTGAGCATGGTGCAGGTCGCCACCGGGGTGAGCCCGCCGTTGCCCGAGTACACGCCGGCGAGGGGCGACCAGAAGACACCGCAGCCGACGGCGGCCGAGGTACGGCACGAGCCGCCGCCGCAGGAGCCGCAGGAGCTCAGTGCGGACCCGGATGACCGTGCGGAGATGAGTACGAGGCAGGAACACCAGACGTACTATAACAGATGAGTTTGGTTTTTGCAGGCGCGTGGGTTATTCTGTTTCTTTGTAGTTAGCCTGAAGCCTGGTCTGTCAACGATAATACCGGGCCAGAGATGGAGGTGAATGGGATAGTGGTACTGTCGAAGGAGTCTAGCGTTTGCCTCTTTGGTTTGTTCATTCTTGTTACTGGCACTATTCCCACTTGGAGTTGATGGTATGGAATTATGATCACGCGAATTTCAGTAATTTCTCAAGGTACCTAGCATACACCTTGAACCATCAGGGTTCGGAGCCATCAAGGTTCAGAATGTGATAAGGATTCCGCGAAATTTCGATCGTTGCCAGTCCGCTGATCCGTTTCGTGTAACTCCATGACATCCATGCCCAAGAGAGATAGTTACACCGCATTACAACAGCAGCGCCCGCAACGTTCGACGCGTTGTGGCCTCTAGGCTCTAGCCCGTGAATGAATTTTGCCAAGATCACATCAATATGAGTCAAGGTCGCGTGACTTGTCCGCATGCGGAACTCCTCTGGACCCTGAGAGACCACCAACCCATGCAATGCCGGCAGGCGGAGGGGGGCGCCGAGCAATGGCTATCCTCTACCAAGCAGACTCTAGGATCTTGCCCCCCGATCCTAAGTAGGGCCCGGGTGATGTGATGAGTCCATTTCATGATCGGCTCATCAGCCGCAGCGCACCGTTGTCCGCCCACTGCTCTCTCTTCACGAGTCCATACCCCTCTCTATCACTGTCACTCTGTGTATATACACGTTTACGAAGTGTACACTCATCAAGGTCGTCCGGGATTCCTTCGTTGCGCTGCGCATATGCCGTGAAAATTTAATACATCAAGAAACCCGATGGCCCCCAAGGCCCCCGTGAGTTCCATCACCGCAGGCAGGCATCGAGTGTACATGTAGCATAGCGCAGAAGTCAAAACTCCACAGCAACGAACCATGACCGTGGCTTCCAGGAGCTTGTATTTAGGTCCTCTTGGCGCGCGTGGATAGAGACAGGTGTGAGAGGGTCCCCACGATGCTGTGTAACCATCGGGGAGGAGAGGGTGGGAGGGCGGCCATGTGCACCTCGGTGCCGAGAAAACGATTTCCGTTGTCACCAGTCTTTGCTGCTTCCTGTATCTATACAGGTATACTTTTACCTCACAGTTACACAACGGTTTCTGAACCCTCCTCTATCCGAATCGTGACTCTGCAGACTCCAGACTTTGGAGAAGAGGCATCCCGATATCGCACTCATGATCTGCAGGTGACCGGCACAGCGATGCTTCAATAAACGAGAGCGATATCGGACAGCTCGCTGTGCTTGTGACTCAATCGTCTTGCCCGGGAGGGGCTGAGATATTTGATCCACCGAGCTCGGTGAAGTCTGTGCTCTTAAGTCTGGGTAGTTGTTGGTTCGCAAAGGTTTTGTTGGAGCTCTAATGGAAGGGAGCTGTTCAACATGGGTGAGTGGACGGGGGATGGACAAGTTGAACGCTGATGCTGGAACCCTTCCCCCCCCCCCCCTTCCCGGGGCCGGCCGGAAGGGCGGGGCCAAGTCACGGAGCTACTTTGCTGCTTTGGACGGACGGAACACTACTTTACTTTGGTGACTAACTTCGACCTGGATCTACCGACCAACTGCCGCATCCACTTGTTCACGTTGTTTTGAATTATCGATATGGACGATCCTAAAGAGAAGATCTGTGATAGTGACGGGTTGTGCAGTAAACTTCGGACTGGCTAACGTTAGGAATAGAGCCGCCCCATGTAGCCAAGAGATGTAGTGCCGTCAGCCCAGCACGTCCATTTACCATTCGGCCGGGAACAGGATGAAATCTCTTCCTTAGTATGCGCTCTACTCTAAGCGACGGGCGACGACTGCAAGTTAAGCCGATCACCACGTTAAGTCAGTTGAGAAAGCATTTCGTCATAACGTTCCGATGGGGCGTTCGCTTTGCAGAGTCGACTAGCGTAGATCGGAGAGAATAACAAAACGAGTAACCGGCATATTCCATGATGGGTAAAAACCAGTGCAAAATACACCTTTCCCACTACCCTATCCCACTACCTGAGTCTGGATCTTTCCTCCTAGCCCCTCCATCGGCAGATCTCCCTCCTCCCACATGGACAAAAAATTTCCAATGGCAGATCCGGAAGGGAAAGAAAATGGGTTGACAGTCCCGCGAGCTAATACGGAATACCTCTAGTCGAAAAGCCTCCTTGCGCCTATGTATGATGTAATACCGAAGGAGGGAGGGGGACCTGGGCTCAAGCCGCACCGGCGAGAGCGGGAGGAGAAGACCCCCAATGTGTCTCAGTGGGAAGGACAATCAATTTCTGCAGGGTCCAGAGTGCCCAGAGGCGCTCGACGTCGGGATGTGCGTTGACTGACGGTGTGGCCCAGAGTCTTCCATTGTCAAGCCAGGAACACTGCCCGCACTCTTTTGTGCCAATGTCTCAACGACCACGGTGGGATCTCTCCGAGGGGGCGGTGGGCATGGGGACAGGGAAGAGATCAAAGTGAGAATGTCTCAACGGCATGTGGGCAGAGACATCTCCCGTTTGTTCCTCGTCAAGACTCCTGCCCTCTCAACCGCCATGGTCGTTCTCTTTGAACCCCTCACGATGCTGACGACGTGCGAGGTTCGCAAAACCGCATTCGGTAGCAAAAGGTACCGGATTCAGAAAAGGTCGCTCGAGCAGCTCACCAACAGCCAAGACACCATACTATGCCTATACAGATCCCGGCCGAAGACAGAAAAAACGGGGTACGAACGACTTAATCCCCCTTGGGTTCTTTAGCTCTTGAGCTCTTTAAGCTCTTTAGCTCAACGCTAACCTACATGTCATGGACTTGACCTCTAGGTGGCCTTGGCTTCTTGTCGACTCCGAAGCTGGCTGTGTTTTTTGGTCGCCACCAAAACCAACAACACCACCCAAGGAAAAACAGAACGCCCAACACAGGACCCGATCCCGCCGTCGTTCCCTGTAGACTGTAGTAGTTCAAGATCGGAGTCCCGTCCCAAAGCTCAGGTCGCACCCGCATCGACCGCGGCCGCCTAGAGCAGAGGCACGGATCCCAATTGCCGTGAGCCGCATGCGAAAGACACGCGACGCCACGTCCCGCTTAGCCCAGAGGCCTGGACAGCCTTGACCCATAACCTTACCAAGCGCTTGGAAAATACTGCAGAGAGGCTCAATGATACTGTGGTAGGCATTTGAAGTTGTTACTCTGGTCATGGTCATGGTCATCACAAAGTTCAACGAAGCCGTTGCACCTTTATGAAGCATGTTTCTAATTTCTCTGATTGTCTATCACGCTCCTCATAATTCTATCATTGCTCTATGAACCTGACGTTCAAGCGAACAGAAACTCATAACCAGGAGCATTTCGTCCTCATTATTATGCCTTTAGCTATCGATTATCATGGCGCGGTAAAGAGAGCGAGTGAAGAGAAAATCCTGTTAGTCCCTCCGCCCATCACATCTGTACCAGCCCTATTCCGGCGAACCGGGAAACCAACCCATCCAAAGAGCCCCATCAAGCCACCGAAAGCCACTGCCGCGAGACGCTTGTGAGAATCTGGCCCGTACGGCCGTCGCGGCGTAGACCGGCGGCTTTGACAAGCGTCGAGCGTGGCTTTCTCGGTAGGTCCTCCACGCGGGGTGCATGCCGTTCTGCGTGTAGAACGGCAGTGCATATGGGCAAAACAACGGGATACAGAGCAAGATTATGTTCTCGCAAGGGAAGGAAGACAGACAAACATCAAACTCCAGAATGGTATAAGTAAACGTCTCGCCCCGGATGCCATGGTGAAGTTTTTAGATAGACCAGACAGCCTCAACTCTCTCACACAACAAACAACCTCCTCATCAACAAGACCAACAAGACCTTTTCACTAAGGTTTACCATCCTATCCTCACAACCGGTCTCTAATATCTAATCAACATCAACAAACTAAAATGGCTCGCCGCGCTTCCCTCATCGTGACAGCCCTCCTGGCCGTCTGCGCCTCCGCGGCTCCCGCCCCGATGCCTCAGCGCTCGTCAAAGATCACGGCCGTCAAGAACATCTTCACCGTCGGCAACGTCTCCTTCGCCAACAGGCTCTACTGGGACTTTAGCAAGCTCGCCAACGGCGCTAAGGTGCCCGACGGCCTGCGCGTGAGCGGCTACCCCGTCAGCGACACGCACGTCTTCGTCACGCAGAACGCCTACATTAACGGCGGCTACCTCAACCTCAAGGTCGACGGCGGCCAAAAGTCCAAGCCCTACAAGTCTGGCGAGGTCGTCACCGTGGCCCAGAACATCAAGTACGCCTCTGTCCGGACCGTCGCCGTCTTCTCCGAGCCCGCTGGTGTCTGCAATGGTAAGTCTACCCCCTTCGACAGATCTCGCTACCTCACCATCAAACACTCTTTCGAGACTAACACAACATCAACAGGTATCTTCTTCTACAAGAACGACAACCAAGAGACCGACATTGAGTGGCTCTCCGACGCAAACTCCCAGAGCAACGCCGGCAAGCGCCAGGTCTGGTTCGCGAACCAGGCCACGAGCAAGTCCTCCCCCAAGTCCTGGCTCTCCGTCCTGCCCCCCACGAACCCGACCACCACGGAGCACGAGTACCGCATCGACTGGATGCCCGGCGTCGTCCGCTTCTTCGTCGACGGCATCCAGACCTGGCAGACCACCCAGAGCGTGCCCTCGCAGGCCGGCCCCTGGGTCTTCAACAACTGGGCCAACGGCGACAAGGGCTGGAGCGCCGGTCCCCCCGCCGCCGATGCCATCTTCAAGATCAAGGAGATTGACATGTACTACAACACCGCATGAGAAGCCTACCTACTCGGCCAACACACATCATTGGGCAGGCTTCTGCTTCACAGCTCAAATTTTCAACTTCATCGTACATACTTTTGGATAATGACAAGGCAACCAATTCATGAGGAGGAAAACGGTCTTGGAACAAAGGGAACTAATTGGACATAATGAGGAAGGAAAACGAACAATAACTTCATGAACAAAATGGAACCAGCTACTAAGGAGGAGGACATAATAACGAGGAGGGCTTACTTCATGACCATAATGCAATAGTAATGGACATAATAATACAGAAAATCAGAAAACCCCCAAAATCGAGTCATTATCAAGTGTCATGCAGCATCCGATGCGCACCATTGTGAGAAGAAATGGGAATGACCCTAGGCCGCGGATTGAACAGCTCATCGGGACGGATGCATCGTCACCGACCCTCAAGCATTTGCCGTATCCGAGTCAAAAAGCACCCGGCGGATGGGGCAAGATATCCGTCCGATGCGTGGAAACGTGGAGGCGGGCGGGCGGCCGCAGGCCCTGCTGCTGCCGCAGCAGCAAGGGCAAGGCCATGCAGGTAGGAGAGAAAGAAGACAGAGGTCTCTTCTCACCCTCGATGTCCGCGGGTAAAAAGCTACTGTCAAAGCTATGAACAATCAGGGTCTCCACGATCTTCTCTTCCACGATATGTATGGACCCCAGAAAGTGATAAAAAAGGGTTAGCGGGTTGGAAGATCATCCCATGCGAGGAACAAGGGGGGAGGGGGGGCATTTTCGACTTTTGGATGCGACGAGCTTCTTGCGGTTGGGTTCGTCCGCACACTATCCTCCGCAAGCCTCCGCTTCCCGCCCGCCCGCATAGAATGATGCTCCATAGATAAGACTCATCGGGAGCCGTTCGTTTGGTGTGTAGTCAATTTTTTCCTTCCCCATTGTGCGGACCAGAGATCGTCTTTCGCGCCCACCCGTGTGCCCAGTGTGGCTGGCCCACGATGCCCGTCCATTGTCGTCTGTTTTTACGTTGGCCCGAAGACAATCCGAGGCCGGTTCGGCCCCAGTACCCGCAGACGGGATAGCTCTAGCCTCTTGAGCCTCATGTGGAAAAGCTTCGGGCGTGGGAAAAAGGGGGACGAAGTGCGAAGAGGCTAATGAGAGCGTTTCCCGTGGGCCAGGTTGAGGATGTCCGATAATCGGAAAGCATGGTTCTTTCGTCTCTCGTTGGTTTGCTGCGACTTTTCGACCTTTGCGTACAATACGGCCGCGCGCGCCCCTCCAACTCCTCTCAGGTCCTCGTTTACGCGATGTTCTGGACTTTGGGCTAAAAAGGACTTGAACCGGGGTAAGGGGGGGGGGGTGGTTTCTCCTTGAGACGAGACAGGCAGACGCGAGTGCGGTTCGCGAACCTCTCAGAGGCTCAAATGGCGTTATCTTGCATGATAGCTTCCTTTCCACCCACCCCTGTCTCTCGTGGTGCTCTTCGGGATGGCGTCCAAAGGGTTCTGGGTTCCTGTCAAGGAGGGTTGACAAACCCCACCAGTCCGTGGGGTACTCTTTCAACAATCCCGAAAGTATCCGACCCTGCCCGGTGTGGCCTGGGTAGTCACGGTGTGTTCAATGGATGCGTGGGATGGGATGTGGAAGCGATTGGTGTGTATCTGGCCGAGAGAGGCAAAAGAGCTTTCGCCGGTTGTTCGTACGGGGGACGAGAGCTGAAGCAGAAATTTTCGTCGATTTTGGCTTTACTGCGTAGCTTCAGCTTCAGCCCTTTTCAACGGCGGCCCCTTTCAGCTTGTAAGCGAGGACCCTGAACTAAGGTAGGCAAACACCGTCAGCAACGCGTACGACAACCAATGACAAGCTCCAAACGCAAGAGAAGGGTTGAATTTTTCTTGTAGCTTTGAATTTCCAAGCTATCGGGAACCGATTTTCCACTTTGGCTCGGTGATTTAGACCACCGAGGATCACACCCATCAAGGTGAGTGACGAGGGGCCCGAGGGGTTCTCATGAGCGCGCGGCTGCTCGGCACACCTTGATGGGCGGGCGCTTTGCAGATAGCAGGATAGCGACAGATGGCCCAGAAAGTTGAAGAAAAGAACCAGGGAAACAGTTCAAGATAGTCTTGGATGCCCCATGGTTACGCCATGCCGTCTTCTGCCGCCTGCCGTCAGTGACGAAGCTCAAAGAAGAGGAGGGGTCGCGAGCGTGGGGTTGAAACTTGCGAGCTTGATGGCGTGCATATCGAGAGACTGACTGCCGCCCGTATCCGTGGGAGTTCAGGGTCTAGACACAAAAGAGGCATGCCGAACGGAACGGAATCGACACGCACGTCGTTGAGATGAAAAGTGACGTTTTCTTGCCTGCTCATACGCAATAAGCAGAATATCTGTAACAACTCCTCGGTCCAGGATTGTATCTCTCCGTATCGCCGTAAATCTCGGGAGTTGCGTCAAAAGTAACCCCGCCGATGCCAAGCTGGTGGAATATAGAACAATCTAATCAATCATCTATCAATCTATCTATCAGTCAGTAGCAAAACTCTAGTCGGACTTCGGATGCTATGGCAAAAGGAGAAAAAATCCAAGCCCCCCACGCAGAGCAGAAAAAGGCAGATTAATTGAGTAGCAGCATGGCACGCCCACTGGGGACGCACGCAGAACTTTCGATGCCGTGACAGGCATGCTGTAGAAACTCTCTTGCTCAAGAAGCCCCCGGTTAAGTTCCCTTTGCAGACGAATGTCATTTTCAAATCACAGGTTGACACGCAAACGTGCCATCTGGGTAGCCGTAGAGTGTGCCAGCCACCTTGATAATTCTAGACCATGACAGGAACCTGCTCAGAGATAGCCAAACAGTCGGGAATGCAAGAGTCTCAGTGGACGAGGTTGAAATTTTGTGCGCTTGCGTATCTTGTCACCCCAATCGTTCATGTCGCGGCTCTTGCCGCGCATGCGTCCTCTACTGGAACTGGTAAGTATCTCCCGTCGGTTGATGGCACAATGAGTTGCCAATTGCATTGTGTCTGCGCGTTGCCTTGCACTCACAGCAGCCGCCTATTCACTGACTCCGACATGCCCCCGAGGAAACTCAAGAGGTGATATCAGACGTGATATGAGCAGACCTCGACCAACGGTTGTCAGCCACGCCAGTCAAGCCGACGGCGATTCATGATGGGACCTTAGCACATGCATCTTACGCCTACTTTCGAAACCAGTCGGCATTCTTTTGTGAGGAAAAAAATGTGACGAGATAGTGTTTCTATATTGTCTAATGGCACGCCATCGCCACTCATCATGTGTTGTACAGTTGTAGTACCTAGGCATATGAAGCAAGCGGCAGTTGGTGCTCGAACAGCTCACATCACATCACACCCCGCATTCCTGAGGTGATCAGGGTTCTACCTACCACCGACTGTTAGCAGCACGAACAGAAGCAAGAAAAATTGATCAGCATATCTGGTTCCGGCCGTTTCGAACTTACGAATGTGATGGAACTTACATACACGCCATTACGGACCATCGTGCCATCCTTCACCGTTTCCATGTGTCACAGTCACCGTCCTCTAGCTCGGCCACCAAGAAAAAGAACGTTATGTTTAGGGCCTCTCGGATCTAGCAGTAGACTGGGGGATCGCCATATAGCGGTCATTTGGACTGGGGACCGGGGACTGGGGGGAAAGAGAGAGATGCTTAAGCCCACGGCGGCCGGCGTAGGGTGCATTAGACTATTGACATAATACTTACCATAGTACTCCGTACCAACGGACTAGAAGGTACCTATTCGAGAGACTTTGTAGACTGAGTGTCGATCGTTCATCCGGCACTGTTTATTAGTTTGCTTGTATTAATGCAGACGATGCTCGACGGCTTTGACGGATGCTGTTCCCTTGGGCGGAGAACAGTTACGATTGACGTGGGCTTTCCGGTGACTTTCTACGTTGCATACCTTCGGATACTCCACGGGCCTAGTCTTCCGGTGTTCCATCGAAACCAGAAAAGTTGATCTGTTCTCTCAATGTCGAGATTCAACATTACAATTACCCTCTGCATAGGGACCCTCTTACGCGGCGACAGATGGCATGAGGAAACTTACGATGTATGGATTGATAGTTCGACAAGACATAGAGAGTACCAGCATGCCTGTAGGCTATATCAAGCGCTAGCTGCTCAACCATGTCTACTGCCCCATAACTCCTTTGCAGTAACAAAGTCACTCCAGTTACAGAGACACAGAACTGGCCAGTAGCTTGGCATCTTTGTGGGAACGGGGGAGAAATGCAGATGAAAATTTTCCGTCGGCTGCCCTCTCCGATGCCCGATGGGTTGGGATCCCCGCAACGACCCAAGGGGAAAGGAGACAGAAATGTTGCATCAATAATACATCGTTACGGTGAACCAGAGAAGAAACGGGGGGAAAAATCTTTCTTCCTCTGACCAAACGTGATGGAAACACGTGTTCTGTGACGGACGGGAAGAAACGTCGTTCATGTCAAGTTCCCACCGTCTCAACGTGGATGAAGCAGCCACTGTGGTAGGTGGTTTGCGGCCTACCTTGGACAGTTGGATCCGTCCTAGACTTGACTAACAAGGCAAGGTAAAGGCCGGGTTGGGGAAAAGGCCCACCCACCGGTGTACGGATACAAGTGTGCGTGTGTGTGACTCTGGAAAGTGAAGAGACTGCTGAGCGGAAGCCCTTGCAGAGAACGGAGCCGGGACGAAGGGAAACGAGTGGATATTCTGTCAATGGGGCTCCGGGCTGTGTCGTCCTTGCAGTTTGCCCACTAAATTCTTTCTCATGGGGATTAAGTTTTTCTCGACTTGTTTCTGATGTGCCAGGGGTGGTTGCGAGGCGCTGAGGTCTGGAATCTCTGGAATCCTGGAATTTCTGCCCATTTCCACAATTTCTGATCGTCTTCCCTGCGTCGAGTCCGTCTTTGTCATTGTATTTTGTTGTTACCGGGAAGGGATGATAAGCAATATCTTTCGTACTCTGTGAGTCTGTGGAGGTGAAGCGAGTGAAAAAGGGAGACAAAAAACCGGAGCATGTTGCTTTGCGACGGGCGGCGGCGCGGCTGGCCGGAGAGGTTCCACGGGTCCACGGGCATGGCTCCACGGGTCACTGTTTTGCAGGATGTGAAAGAAAGGGAGCGGGTGGGACGGACGACGCCATCAACCCATACCCAAGGTACAAGGCACCGGACCGCCTCAAGCTCGCAGCGCCGTTCGGGAGCATGACGCCTCCAGGGGACTCGGAGCACCTCTTTGCCATTCAGCCGCTCTACCCCCAAGAGCTAAAATGTGCTCATCGTTGTTATGTGAGGTGGTTTCCTGTGGATACGGGTACCGGTACTCCACCGAAAGTCAAGCCGGCTTGTAATGAGTCGATGACTGACTCCTTGAGTTGCACAGTCGTTGTTGAAGTCTCTGAGCCGCTGAGCCTCTCGCGACGGGACGTGGGGCTCTCGAGGATGTGGGTTAGAGGCCTACGGATACTGTAGTGCCTTAGTTCCCTCCCTCAGAGTAACAGTTGCGCCTTTCAGTGGAGTTTGTTTCGAACTTTGTACGGCCTCTTGGTAACCCTGATGTGGCTTTTTTACTCGATTTCCTTAGGGCCCATTCGGGGGGAAACGTGCTCAGGGCTGTGGATGAGGTGATGTGAAAACGTCGTATGAATCACGAAATACCGGGGCCGGGGGGATGGAGGCTTTGGAGGCTCCTCCGTCGCAGCCGCGCAAAGCCCACAGCTAGCAGACAGCAGACGTCTGAGTCTCGGCTGCTCTTACTGCGTGCGTAGCAACCTCGTGGGAACTGGGAATGGCCCACTCGATCCGACTCGAACGATTTGCTAGACTTCAACTCGAGCCGTGGCGGGTCGCTGACAGAGAACCAAAGTTGTTTCGGTCATCAGTGTCCCCGTCGTCTGTTGTTCCCCAACATGTTGTGCCCTTTGAGGGAAATTGCAACATCCTCTGATCAAAGGGGACGTGCCGAAAGTGAGAAAACCGGGTATTGCATTACGGCGGCCTCTGGAGTCTGCTCCCGTGCTGCATTGCATTATGTTTGTTCTTTGCTGAGAGACAGCTGTGGCATGTGCTCACTAATCTCAGTCTGGTAGTCTGGACTCGCCGGAGACGTGTCCAATTTCTCAAAATCAAGGAACGGGAGAAACAAACACGATGGCGGTGCAGATGCGAGTAGAAAGGCAAGACGAGGAAATACCTCATTGGCCATCCCCGATGTAGAAGCTGGCTAAGAAGTGCCGTACCAGAAACACGTTGACTATGGTATCGTACGCTGTTAGTGAATACAGTCCACGTACACCTACTGTTCGGTATTCGCAGACCGGCATCCACCAAATCGGCGTACCTATGTGTGAGTTTGTTGCCGCTGCAAGGTACTTGGACCCTCGCCGTGACGGTGTGTCTTGTTTCGCTGGTCATGCAGTCGAAGCTCTCCATAATACGGGGTACGCAGCGAGGCACGTTGCATACAGCAGAGCGAGCCGACTGGCTGCCTTTTGGAATTGTAAAGTTGTACTGTTCATGCGTATGGAGCCCAGAAACCATCAGATCGTGATCGCTTCACTGGCTCAGAGAAAACGTCTCTGTTTCACGGGTGTCCCTTTCTGATGTTCTTCTCCTAGTGGCGGCTCTGTATCCTTCTTCCCGCTTTTCGTGTTCCCGCAGGAAGTTCCGTTCTCCACGCGCATCAAGTGCTTGTTTCTTTCGTCCAAGGACTTTGGACGGCCCGGCGTGTGATGTACCTCTTGGCTCGATCTGATGTGCAACGGTACATTGCGTGTCTGAGGCAGCCCGCACCGAGGCCGTAGAGGTTTCGAGCGGCCGCTGCATGAGCCTACGCGATATACTCTCCACGAGCATGTTTCTTGCCTGTTCCCTGGACGATTCCTTACATAAGGCGGAATGGTTGGTTGTACGTCGATGCCATCTTGAACTTATTAGCTAACAAGGCGTCGTTATGATGCAATTTTGGCACCGCAGTGTATATTGGGTACAGACGGACGCAACAGAATAGGATGCTCAAAAAATGGCTTCAGCACATGAGCAAGGGCTCTAGAGTCAAGGCCCAGGACGGCATGAAAGAGGCACCGGGGCCGATGGGGTGAGCTGATGACAGAATGGCGAAAATGATGCATCGCCGTGGCTCGACGACAATTGAGCCCCCTCGTTCGCGTCAGACCTGGCTCTTGTTAGTCCTCGCATGGCCAGTCACCTGGTCACACCTCACATCGCTCGCACCTTGTCCTCGGCTTCCAATAGGCGAAGCAGGCAGCTTGCAGCCTGCGTACCATTTTGTCATCCTGTGTCCAGCAGGTAGGTACTGTAGTGTAGGTACTCCGTGCAGAGGTGCAGAACAGAACACCAGGGCCGCCCAGTCCCCTTGTCGATCGTCTCAGAAAGGGTCCTATGGTCCAGTGATCTTGTGGTGGTGCCTCTAGGAGTGTACTCCGGTAGGTGTTGGGATGCCCTCCTTGCAGCTGTACCTGGCATTCTGGCATTCTAGTTTCCATCATGTAATGGTGGATGCTTGGCCACCATCCAAACACACCCAAGTGCTCCAGGGACGGCATCCGGTAGATTCGTAATTGCAGCCACGAATTCACCATTCACCGTTCACCGCTGCTGTTTTGGAAAGTGTAGGTACCTTGGGAATACTCTAGTAGATACGTGTTTACGTACTCACGTACTCCGCACTGCACGTGTGATGCCTTACATAATTCAAGCCCGAGAACGTCGAGAAGGAAGGAATGAATGTACGTAAAGGAAAGTACGAAGAGAAGTGCCTACCTTACATTGCGAAGCACCCTTGGGTACAAGGCGACGCGGGCAGGTTGGCACTGAGGTCAGGTAGACACGGCAGGCAGGGCAGGTACTGAGGAACTTTGGCTTCATCCCCAGACTTCTCTCTCGGCAGCATCGTGCATCAACCTCTGCTTCTCTTTGGACTTCCCCATATTTGCACTATTAAAAGCCCTGCTTGGTCTTTGGCGGCTTTGCCCTGGTCCGCACATCCCCCTCGTCTCGCTAAGTAGTGTAGTCTCTCCTGACCACAAACTGCGTACTTCGTACCCACCAGCGTCCACGCACGCAACGAGCTCTTCTGACTTCTCAGCTTCTCACAGACCAACGACAAGGGTCCCGGGTTACCCTTCTGGGTACGAGTGAGCCGCCCGCAGAGAGGGAATCAGACAGGCTTCCCCTGTCCATCGCAGGCCTGCAATCCTCCCCGCTGTGAGGTGCAAAGTGCAGATACTGAAGCCTGGTTTCTTTGATGCCATAATCCCCGTGACTACGAGAAGGCAACGGCGATATAAACCTCGGACCCCGATCTGGAATCTCGATCTGGAAAGAAAGGCAATTTTTCCATCGCTAGCGAACCCGTTTTCTCAACCACGTCAATAAGTCGGTGAAGAATTGAAGAAAAAAAAAACTCCCCGACCAGCGGCTAGACAAGAAACGAAGACGGGGGGACGGAAAAAAAAAGATATTGCGCAAGAAGACATTTTCCAAAGGAATTCCATACCATATTAGCTCGGGATACGAAAAAAGACACGGCTGCATACACATTACACACAGACTACAAAGAACGACATTTTATTCTCCGGTCTCATACGCAAGAGCCAACCCGCCAGTCCTCATACAGAAGCAGCGGCTATCCAGCAAGAGGCCAGAGAGCTCATTCCTAGCCTTGCAGCCCTTGCTTCCCACCGCTTCGTTTGGACACAAGCAGATCAAGACCCTCACGCCATACCCTTCTTAGCACGAGAGGGTTCATCAGGGTGTCTGGTCTCCGGTCGTCGTTACTACTCGGTACACCTGTAACCACATACAATTACAAGCTACAGCACCCATACCCGTACGGTTTGGGTGGCATTCTCGCTGCTGTCATCGGCAGAGTTGAGACGACGGACGAATCGGCGGCGCTTGATCCATCTCATAAGCTGGAGGTCCGTCCGCACCACAACATCTCCGCTTTCGGCGAGCCCACGGCCCTGCCTGTCCTTGCGTCAATCCGAGGTACCTTGCGTCTTTGCGGCTTGTCTGGGTACCGGGTTGAAAAATTTACAGAGGGTACGGGTGGACAAGGGGAGAGAAAAAAAAAAGAATATCCATACATCAACTTGCAAGGGAGTGACAAGTAAGGACGGCAACGGAAAGAGTCACACTCGATCGGGCTCCATTCATTCAACAAGAGAAAAGCCATTGAACACTATTCGAAGAGTCAAACCAACCGTCTGCGGGACTACATATATTTCCCGGCTCCAATTCTGTCCCGCTTCCAGGAGCCTCATCTGTCGCCAACTGCTCTCTTTCTTTTTCCTCGCCTTGACATTTCCTCGGCAATCTCGTCTTTGACTGAGTGATCACTACGTCAGTCTGGCTCTATTTCGTCTCAATCCACTTGAGGATCCGTCGTCCCTTCTATCGAGCACCTAGAAAGGGCAAACTACCTCACACTCACACACCTGCTGCTCGGCTTTCGCCTTGCTGATACACAAATCGCATCTCTCTTTCGCAAATTCCCACCCCCGAACGGAAGACGGACAACGGGCCAATTTGGAGCTAGCCAGCGCTGGTCCCCGCACTCGCTCTCGACTCTGGCGTCATCGTGCTTCCTAGGAGCTGTTTAATTAATTTCTCGAGAGATCGAGGCCGCAGCAAACATTTTGCTGCACCTAGCAGAGTACCTCCTAGTTCCGACTGTACCTAGACTTGACCTGCAGACCCCGGTTATCCCTGGAGCGAGAAACAAACCCACGCTGGTACAAGTCAACCCCGGTCTCTCACTCTCCATCACTCTACACTAAGCCTGGAGACTCAACCCGCGCACACCTCTCTGTCACTGAGTCTGAGTCTCTCACACCATCCACCTCGCCGGGTCTCACCAAAGATACCTACCTAGCACGGTAATAGCAACCGTCAGCGCAGGTACTCTTCTCAGTCTCTCCTCAGCCGAGCTAGCCCTCTCAAAAAAACACATCCGGCCAATCCTTCCTGCAAGCTTGCAGCACCACATCAGGCCTGCTTGGACTGGCGGCACGCTTCTTTTATTCCCTTGACCTCCCATCCCATCTTGTCCTATCCCGTCCTGCCTTGGACACACCTCTCTTCTCTCTCTCAGTGTCTCTCATTCCTAGACTTGTCTCTTGCATTAAAAACTTCCGACTGGCCTGATAGGAGGAACACGGGCTCTCTCTTTCAAGTTTTCAACTGGAGCATTGTATCAGTCACGGCCACGGCGACGGTCACGGCCACAAACCCGCACCACAACCCATCCATCAGCCATCCATCGCCCACGGGCAATCCATCACTTATCAGCTCTCGGCCAAATATACATACATATCCACTCCCACACCCCCCAGCCAAACCCGCCGCTATCTTTCAATCCATCACCAAGACGCCTTAGCTACTAGAAATAAGGCATACCACATCAGGCGTCCCCTGCACATTGCGATAGCTCGAGACCCTTCTTAATCCTCCCAGCACCCGCTCTGACCTGCGGGGGAAGACCAACGACCGGAGAAGAAGAAAAAATCTCTTCAGCGGGCGGACAAGACACACGGAGTCACAGCCGACGACCACCACTCTAACCTACCTTACCACCACTACCTTACCTGTTCGTTCACTCAGCCCAGGGCTTCGAATTTGCCACTCGGAACGCGTGAAAGCAGGGACCAATTTCCTGCATTCCCATACAAGGCCACCAACAGGCAGTCTAGATTCACATCTCACCGATTTTTGCGAAAAATTTTCACTGTTGCAGAAGAAAAGGGTTCGGAAATCTTCTTCCCTCGTCCGACGCTGCTTCACCCATCGCCTCTGCCAAACCCGACGGCCGAGACAGGACGGACGTTCGCAACTGCAGTAGCACTACACGCTGTTGTTCGTCAATCATCGCTTCTTGGGGGAATAGAACGGCGCTACCCCTCCACCAAACCCGCCCATTCCCCGCTTATCTGGTCCCGCCGTCCATCCGCCGATACAGGCACCACAACACAGCCAACTGAGACTGAGGACTCGGAAACTAATTGTGAGCGTGAGCTGCGAGAGTCTGAGCGATAGACTACAAGAAGAACCCCTGCCAACCTCGTCGCATCGTTGGCTTGTTGTTTTCTTCTCTCGATCTTCCCCTTCCTCAGATCCCTTTCTCTCAGTCGTACATACATACGCCAAGAGAAAGACTTCACAATGCATCACAGCCGCAGAAAGTCGGGCAACACCTCCATGACGGAGAAGACTGTCACAGCTACCGATCCCTCCCGCTACGGCAAGCGTCCTTCAACTCTCACCAGACGCCAAACTCCCCAGAAGTTGGGCAAGAACCCCAGAGACCGGGAACGGGAACGGGAACAGCAAGACTCGTGGGACGATGAACGGGAGAGTTTCCCTCAGTTCTGGTAAGTTTCCTGCCACAGTTTTTTGTCTTTTCTTCTTCACTATTCACATCTGTCGTGTCTCCCTCACTCTCATTCCCACTCTCACTCCCCGATCTGGACATGAGTGCTTCCTCAACGCCGCCATGTTCTGGATTGTCAACCCCGCAACAAGCTGTCTTGCAACATTGTCCGTCATCCAATCTTTGTTGCAGATTGTCATCCCGTTCGGGAGGTCTGCAGTGTCACGATGGACGCCCACTGTAGTGCGCGTTGCTATTCTTCCGATGGGTGTCTACGCACTCAAGTTCCCGTTCGAGCCATTCTTCCCACCCTATTGACCGAACAATTCGCTGACTGGGCCGTGTGATCTAGCATGACTTGCGAAAAGCAATTCGTACCTCAAGATGACAGGTTCCTGTACTGCTCAGAATCGTAAGCTGCCACTTCCAAGTGAATGTCCCTGAGCGAAAGGAGTGACTTTACTGACACTACGCAGATGCCGCAAGCATGATCAACAAACTGCATCAACTGGCAGGACTATGAGCCAACC